TTTTTGCTGGTGTGTGTTGAGTTGATACTTTGACTAATCTCAGAAGTTGATATGCATGTCACATACTTCCACAAACATCAAGCCACCTCTAACTTCCACTCTGTCTCTCCCAGAATGCCAATGTGGGGACAGCTCTCTCCCCATCTGTCAGGTGGTAAGTCAGCAAAAAAGCTGCATTACAAGTCAATGTCTAATCAAGTCTTTGCTATAAGGGAGAAAAAGTGAGCAAATTCTGTTGAGTCAGCCCTCTGTTTTACTTTCAGGGGGAAGTGTCTGTCGAGGTTTCAGATGGAAGCCCTAACTGTGGCTGTCCTCAGCATACATGCCGTATGTGTAACACCCGACTAGTGTGACAATTGATGCTGTAGACATTGTTTCATCCACGATACTCACTTTCCATTTTTGTTTATAGAGAAGGACGAGGTGTGTCTTTTCCAAGGGGTTACAGTGCTGGGCCCAGGCCAGTCTCTGGTTCAGTACTTCGAAGGAGAATTGTGTTACACCGTCCACTGCCTGCATCAGATAGATCCAGACTCTGGCTTCTACGCCATGGAAATAACATCCGTCAACTGCACCCAAAAATGTGGGCCAGTATGTATCCTACATATTACAACATTTTGAGATTTTTGATTGATCACATAGTCTTTGTGAGGGGCATTTTTCTGATTAAATATATTTTTACTGGAGCTTATAGAACATGCCCCATCCACTTGTCTTCCTTTTTTGCATGTTGTACTCACCCTTTTACGTTTGCATCATCTTAAAGCACCAGGTGTATACAACATCTACGGACCCTCATGTGTGCTGCGGCTCCTGTAAAAATGTCTCCTGTACTTTCACCAACGAAAATGGGACAACAGAGCTTTTCGCTGTAAGAACAAACAGATCCATGTGTGCTCAACGCTCCACTTTCTGAGCAGTACTGAGCCTGATTGTGTGTGCAGGCAGGGAGTTCCTGGGTGGAGAACTGCACCCGCTACGACTGCATGGAGACAGCAGTGGGAGCCGTGATACTGGCCTCTGGGGTGGTCTGCCCGCCTTTCAATGACACAGAGTGTATTCAGGTCAGGACCTCTAACTGTGCTACAGTGTATATCCCAACTCATGGTTGGACTTTTGAAGCCAATTGTTGTTTACATTCAAGGCAAGGCAAGTTTATTTATATAGCTTTCAACACAAGGCAATTCAAAGTGCTTTACAAAAATTGAAGACATTAAGAGCATGTAGATAGGTTTAGTCTGAACCTATCTAATGCGCCATTATAGGTTTTACATAATTGAAATAATTTTATGAAATATAATACAAATTCAAGTATCAGAATTGAACATTCCCTTCTAACATTTTATTTTTTTCTCTGACAGAGCAGTTGACAGCAATTTATTTATTTACTTTCAACTATTGTCAAAATAAAGGTTCATCTTCTTCTTCTTCTTCTTCTTCTTCTGCCAGTTATAGCTGTAGGACTATGGATTGGTGCACCTGTATTATGGATTGTATTGTGTATTTTGGACTCTTGTGTCCCTGTAATTGTGTTTCCCATTAACTGTAGTTCCTCGTCTTACTCTGTTCTTGCAGAATGGCGGTGTGGTTCAGAGCTATGTGGACGGTTGCTGCAGGACATGTGAGTCTCCACATTTATTTGATGCTTCCGGTAATGCTTTGAGCTTTCAATCAGAGGGGTGAGCGCCTTGTTGCCTGGCAGTGGATGGGCTTGTTGGCTGAGTGGTTGGGGGTGTGGCCTGTTGTAGAAGGGTGGAGATACAGCCTGTTTTTGGCCCGTCTCAATTCATTTCCGAGTTTGTCCCAACATTTTCTGTTTTTTCAGCAGCACAGCTGAGAAAAAAATAATATTTGTTAAAAAAATATGAAATATAATTTGGGACCTGTGAACTGTTTGATTTGTCTTTATTAAAAGGATAAGGAGTAATAGGATATTGCTAGCTGGTGTGAATTGAAGCTTTAATGAACATGCAGCGGTGATGTTTTCTCTCTCTGTGGATTTGGGATTGCAGCCTCGCCCGCTTGCCTGCTTTTGCAGCGACCTTGCAGTTCTGCCAATCAGGGCGCTCCACAGTGAGTGTTTTAACAATGAGGATGCGCGATGGTGCAGGGGTTAGAGTTTGCCCTGCTGAGCCGCTCTTTGTAGTACATCAAATGACTGAGTTCCTTGGCCAGCTGCCCGGTGTGGACCAAAAGAGAAAAATAAATCCATGTGCATGCCAGCTGCACTGATTCCATCCTCTGTGTGTTTGTGTGTGACGCTGAACTGTGTTTTCTGAACCAAACGTAACCTTGTGTGTGTTCTCATGACGTTCTTTGAACCCGGCGGATGCGATCCCGACGATGCTCCCAGGTGCTGGAGTGGGTGTTTTACCATTTACCGTTAATCCTGTAACCCCCACTGGTAGTACTAACTGTGACACAGGTACCACCATCTTGCACTATCCAATTTACAATAATTATTTGGAAACTCAGTGACTCATCCACTTGCACTTTCAAGCTTTGTGTGAATGTGAGTCTATTTTTACAATTGCTTTCACATTTTTTCCTCTCTCTGGTTAACTTCCAAATCACACTACACATGAACATCTAACCTTGCACACATCTCTAGTGTGAAACCGTACATCAGACAATATGCAATGTTAAATATACTAGAGAGCTTCACCATATCAAAGTGTTAACAACAGTTGTGAAACAAAATAAGCCGTCTAGTAAATTCATTGTATGCATTAATACATTCCAGCCCTATACACAATCCCTTTAACCATCTTTGATTGGCTTTAAAGTAAGGTTAAGTTTAGGTCAATAGCCAATAGGAGAGCCGGATCTCTGCTGCGAGAACTATGCCCCCCGTTACCCACCTGTCAATCAAAAAAAGCTCCTACTGCTGGGCAACAAAGAGCCCTGCTCAATAGGCCTTTCAGGGCTGTGTGAGTGACAGATCTCTGCAGTAAAATGATCAGTGTGTTTGTGTGTGACAATATGTTTAACAGTGTGTGTGTGAGCATTTCTTTGTGTACGTTTGAACTTGCATCTTCATGTTTTCTGCTGTCAAATGGTATGTCCTTGTTGGTAATATTATTCCTCTGAAAGTATTGTGTGTCTATCTGTATACATCTTATTTGTGTGTGAACATGTGTGTAGGTAAAGAGGATGGTAAGACATGCAAACGTGTGGCCATTCGAACTACCATTAGAAAAGATGACTGCAGGAGCAATGCGCCGGTGAGAGAAGAGAGCATGCTTACTTATTTAGGAGGCCGACTCAAAATGTTTAAAACATTGTACGAATATTATGCATTGCTCTATATGTCATCAGCTTCCTTCGTTTACAGGTAACAGTCTATTCTTGTGATGGGAAATGCCCGTCTGCCACCATCTTCAACTTTAACATCAACAGCCACGCCCGGTTCTGTAAGTGCTGCCGAGAGAGTGGACTACAAACTCGCTCTGTTACGCTGTACTGCTCTCGCAACGCCACAGTGGTGGACTACAACTTCCAGGAGCCTCTGGACTGCTCCTGCCAGTGGAACTAAAAACAAGGCCATGCAGAAAAGTGAACGAAAGCTTAAAGAATGTATGAATAGAGGGATGAAATCTTTTTAAAGTACTGATAAAGAAGCAAACCAGCCATTTTTCATTTAATTTGTCACTATAGTACACTTTATTACACTGACCATGAGTTGTAGTTTTGAAAATAACTGATATTAGTTGGGAGGTAGTTTTCAAGTTTCTTTAAGACCTGCTGTGCCAACCAAGTCAGCTTGCTACTGTAGTGCTTAGCCTTGATGTATATGAACAATTAATATCATGTTGACACATATTTTGTTGCATTTTTTTTATATCCTTTGTCGGGTTCAAATAGTACTCTGGTGTGCCTTGGAAGATACATTTAGCCTTTGTAAAAAATTAAAGTTATGCCAGGGATTGTTTTGTTAGAAAAGTTTAATGAGTTCCTGAAATGTGACCTTTGCGCTCTTTGTAGTTTCTGTATTTTGAAGTAAAATAGGGGAATAAAAGGTTTAACAGTGTCTTTTTGTGAATTATTGAAACATTGTCTGCCATCTTGACCTGAAATGTGTCCTTTTTATGCACTCTTTGGGTTTCTCATTCTCAAACCCTTCTTAAAAGCTCATACTCATCCTGATTCAGCATCTGTGGTGCTGACATGTGTTTGTGTTTTCCCTCGAAGAGGTTATTGCTGTGTGGGAGTCCCCTCTTCATAACAGAACCCCTTAGTGGACTCAGCTCTTTGCCTGTCAATCATTTCTCCCTTTCACATTCCTGTCATTCCACTTGGGCTAGCACTTCCACCACACCCAAGGCCTGAGCCAAACCATGAGCAATTTTGAGCCCATGCTTATTTTAGAGGTTATGAAAACAAAATGTCAGACCTGTCTGCTGTGACTGGTTGTGGGTCACCCAGAGGCATTGAGCTGGTGCCCTCTGAGCACAGCTCAGTTTACCACAAAGCCCCACCACATCTCTGATTCCTCTCGCTTCCTCTCAGTATGCCCCACATCCCTCATTCCCCTCCTCTCCTCAGGAGCCCAGCTCTGGAGTGGCCATGTGCCTGAGGTTGCCATGGTGAATTGCTCTTATCCCAACAAAGAGCCAGAGCAAATTATACATCAACAATCTCTCTCTCTCTCTCTCTCTCTCTCTCTCTCTCTCTCTCTCTCTCTCTCTCTCTCTCTCTCTTCACTTAAGGCTTTACTTCTCGGGGGAAGCAGCCATTGAACGTTAAACTCTGAGTGCGCGCTAAATTCAAAGACCACGCTGTGCGTAAAGCGATACGACAACACAATCAGAGTTCTCCGAAAGTTTTAGAATAACTACTAGAAATATTTGTTAAGCCTTAAATAGTTACAAACCGTTCACTTTTTGACGCCCAGGGGTACGTCAGCGAGCCAAACATTTTTGGGACTTTCCACAACCGATGTCTCCGCAAAGGGCGAGTGTTTTGGGTTCATTTATGAACTTACCAAAAACAGAGAGGACGACCAGGACCCACTGTCCCTCTCCCTAATAGTGACCGTTTGTATCCAGGTGGATGTGAGTGCTGGTTGAGATGAGGAGTGACATTTCCAATGGGGGGAACAGAGCGTCTGTGGCTACTTGCTAGTTTATGCCAGGTAAGAGAAAGGCCTAAACGTCCAGTTCTGTGGAGTATTCAATATCCACAATTCCTATTTTTCTTCTTATGAGTGCAGTTTATTTAGGTTAACAAAGTTACTCCTCTTCAGGTGGTCTTGCTGACCTGTGAACAGCATTTAAACCCTGTTGAGGTTGAAGTTGTGTTTCAGTCCTTCCCTTTCACTGAAGATCCAGACACTTACACAGTCACCTGCATGACTGCAAGGAAACATCTGGTAAGTACACAATGGCAGGTTTTTTATCCGTTTTCATTTTATAAGTTTATAACTTATTTGTGAACTAAATTATTTGTCATATTTCTGCAGGTGTATGTGGAGCCCATTCATCATTCAGCATGCTCCCCTGACTGCAAAATGTCCCTGCAATTACTTGAGGACCCGAGAGGATATAACATCAAACTGAGTGCTAGCAGAAATCTTAGTACTCTTCAGGCAAAGACTTTTCACTTCAGTGAGTGCTTCTGAACTTTAAAAACCACAGTCCATATGGAAAAGATGACACACTCGATTAGTGTTTGGTGTATGCTGCTTGATGTTAACCCCCTCCACTGTGTCTCCTCTTCTGTATTTGTGTCCAGTTCCAGTCCCCCAGTCTGCCCTTCATGTATACACCACGGCTACCACTTCTCTCCTGACGTGGAAACTTCACAGGCACCAAAGCTTATCCACCTTGAGTCTGTTCAACAGCCACACACAACTTGTCACACACTTCCTCAACATAAACTCATCAGACTCTGGTTACATGGTAAAAGTTCTCGAGCCCGGCACCCGCTTCAAGGCCAAAGTTGTGGTGACCACGTTCCTCAAACACCTTAATATGACCATCAACCAGATACTCAGCATTGGCATGGAAACAGGTATTGTACACATTTGATTTACCATGATCATGTCACCACAACTTACATATCAACCTATAAACTGAATGCAAAGTGTTATGTGACAGAAAACTTGATGATAATGTCTCCAGCTCAGTGCCCCTCTGGTTGGTTGGCCATTGGGAGAAGTTGCTACGCTGTGAAAAGGACCGGTTTGGCCTGGAGCAATGCACAGCTCAGCTGCAGAAACCTGGCAGCTGTAAGTCACCTGGCTGACATAAATACAGATGAAGATCTGCTTTTTATATCATCCCATCTGCTGACCGACAACAACCTGCTGCTGCTATGGACCGGACTGAATGACCAGCAGGTAGCCTTAATACAGACATATCCACATTGATCGTTAGTGAGCTATAATGCATAATTACTTTTTGTTGTGACTTTCCACTCCCATTTGCAGTAGCTAATGAGAACCAAGCTTGTCTAACAACTGGTCACGCTTGAGGATTTTCATGAATATTTATGAATAACTTTATAATTAGTTATTTAGAAAGGTATTCTTCAGAAAAAACTTTGATTAAATACTTATAAAACAGTGCACCCTTTTTATAGGCTGCAGGAATTCAGCAGTTATTCTGTACTGCAAGACAGTCACACTCAAGCAAAAATAGTCTTTGAGTAATTAAGGGATATATTGAAAGAGGACTGCAGGACCAATAGATTAAAGAGAGGACCATGCCCCATGATATAACTTTTTGACAAAATAATTTGTCAACACTAACTAATACTCCTGATATTGGTGAGAAAAGAGTGATATATGTATTTACTGTATCTAAGTTTTTCTTGGCACTCAAAGAAGCTAAACATCACTTATTTTACATATTTTTGTACAGGTATTTATAAAAATGAAATATAAAATTATATATTGTGCAAAATTATGATATTTAGGAAAATGGTCAAGAGAGTTTTATATTTATAGTAAAAGGTATTACATATTACTCTTAGGAGGATTTACCGATTGATTAGAATACTAAAGATATAAATGAAGTTCTTATCGATATAAATACATTTCAAAACCAGCTTATCTAAACTAAATAGCAGTTTTCTCTCGGGCTGACTGCAATGCGGTCTTCACACATTTCGTTATATCCTTCTGTTACAGAATGATAAAAGTCTAAGTAAGACCACAGGGGGATTTCCTGGCAAAGAAGTTTACTTTCTAAACAGAAAAAGCACCACAGCAGCAGTTGCTGCTTAAAGAGGAGTTTTGTTTTTGATACTTTCACTTTAATGACAGTGAGCTGGGAATGCTGGTCCCATGTATACCGTTTAATGTTTTTCTGCTGTCCCCCCACAGGAGGAGGGCCATCCTCGCTGGTCTGATGGTTCAGCCTTTAACTTAACGAACACTATGATGTCATTACTGCCGGCCAATCGGACGGACTGTTTTGCCCTTCAGAGGAATGCCACAGGGCCGGGATACTTTCTCACTCCTTTCTTCTGTAACATCCCCTTACCCTTCATCTGCCATTACAAGAGTAAATACATGATGTATATACTTTTATTAACCACAGAATGTACTGCCCATGCATTATTTAAACATTTTAAGAAATGTAGCCTTTTAAAATGATGAAAGCATTTTTTAGCATCTTTTGCAATGTCACAGCCCTGAACCCTTGATATTTCTTAATCTCAGGCTAAATAAGTAATGCGGAACACTTAGTAGTTAACCCGAACCATTTAATTATTGAGCATTAATCATGTCCTTCCGAAGTTGCTATGATGTTACTCTAGTTCTCTCTCTTTCACAGTCCCTCCAGTCCCTGCCTCTTTCTCCTTCGACCTGCTTCAGGTGACAGAACAACAGGTAGAGCTGCGTTGGAGTGACCTCTCACCCTTAAACTCTCTAAATATATCCTCTCTCGAGATATTCCTCCAGTACCAAGAAGAGGAAGATGGTGAAGATGATATAAGGAATTCAGAGGACAGAAAGAGGACACAGAGCCTGAGGATTGTTAAAAAGATTGTCAGGGTCCCCATCTCCCTCTCCTCCAGAGGGGTAACTGTGGCAGGTTTGTCTCCGGGCAGCGTCTACTCCTTCACTCTTCGAGCCTCTTATCTTGGCGGCTCAACCTGGAGCTTGGGTCAAACACGGACTGCACACACGAGTGAGTCTGCTGACGTACACATTAGTTACACATCTTGTGCTAACGGTACTTTAAAGCTTTATGTTTTCTCTTTCTTACAGGACCTCTTCCTCCTCACAATATCAGTTTTGGCCCTGTTACCGTCAGTCAGATTAGTGTCCACTGGATGCTGACAGATACACAATTAAAGGATGGATGGATATTTGTGGTGCGCTATGTGGACATGTCTTCAGGACAAAAGAGGATAGTTAGAATGACTAATATCTCCAAGTTATCAGAGACTGGTGGGTTACAGTCATACTCTGCTGTGATTGGAGGGCTGGAGTCTTACAGTAAATACACAGTTGAAGTTTACACCGTCACCCAGTATGGGATAGACAGCTGTGGACAAGCGCCTGTGACTGTGCAGACTGGTAAGCATGTAACAGGGCTTTTCACAGCAGTTTTTTGACGTGTCATAGTAGATTTAACATTAGTAATGACTCTCTCCCAGTAAACCGTGACAGTGATGCAGCCTATAAGGACTCTAAAACTAGCTATTTAATTGAATCAAGTTATCATTATTGTTTGTCTTTTACAAGGGACACTTTCGGACTGCTTTGATCAAAATCGCAATCTGGATTAGTATTAACAAATATTGGAAATAATGTTTTTCTTCGGAATATAGTATGTCAGTCTTCAATAGGTATTATGGTGTTGCAGAGATGTCCAAAACTACAAATTGTTTTCTACCGACATCTTGAAGTAATTGTTCTAGAAAAATCATGCCATTATCATTTAATGGTGTTTTTCGATAAATAATAATGACAATATTACAATTCCCTCCAATATTGTTATTGTGATTGCTATACAGTATCAATCAAAATCATCGCATTTGAAATTCTCAAGAGGTTCAGCCCAACACAATAACAACTAACATTGTTTGTTGTGAAGTGAATTTACTTTTTTCCCGAGTGGGGTCTTCAGTTCTTGAAGGCAACCCTACCTCAAAATAAGGTGCCCATAATGAGGTGGCATCCTCTCAAGATAAAAAAAACTGCTGATTAACTGTGATTGCAACTTGTAATTTGGATAAAATATTAACATCCTATTTGAAGATGTTTTACAAACTGTATTGCTTTGACCAAAGTTACTTGAAAACAATATCACTTTTTTCCTTTTGCATTTCCTAGCGGTGAGGCCCCTTAGTGGTCTGTTTGTGTTGAGCGGAACAGTAAATTTGACTGTCTGCTGGACCAGCTCACCTGATAACCCACCAGATCGTTATTATATCACATCGCAACCGCTGATTGACTACCCACCAACCTCACTGTGGATGAACCAGACCAGTCCTGGTGCACACTGGGTGAATGACACTGTGTGTGTAAATCTGGGCACATTTACTCCAGGTCAGACTTATGAAGTGGGAGTGGTCTCTTTGAGGGGTGAGGACAGGAGTGAGATGACCAAAACCATACATACCACAGGTAAGAGAAACAGAAATACATAAATAGTTCAATAGCCGTATTTACATTGAAACATGTTTTGTTGATTCAATGATTTCTTTAAAATCCACAGTTGTCACTTTGTGCAGTTTCAATGTATTTAAAACTTTGTTTAAAACTTTATCTGAAGCCTAAATGAGGCTTCCGTAGTCTGAGGTAGCTAGTGGGTGTTTTCCAAAGTGAAAGCTTTGTGTTTTCCCAGACAGTGTTTCCCTGTTGAGGTGCAGTGGAAACATAGTAACAAACAGAGGGAATTATACTAAACATGCTGAAACTTGAATTTATTAATTTCGAAAGCTTAAGCTCATTTTGACATATTTTAATATATTGACATATGGTGGACTTTGGTATTTTTCACCATGACCTAAATGAATATGAGGAATGATTTCAGCAAGTAAAACACGTTGCAATTTACAAATGGGCTCCTAATTGACTTGAAAAATTGTTATCCCAGTGCTTAACAGTGTAAACAAAGAGCCTTTTAACCAAACTGGTAATTTTGTAAACAATATTTCCATCTGTTTCTCTCTCTTTATGTGTAGACCCATTGCAAGTACAGGTAGCAGTCCCTCTTTCTGTGGGCACACACTCCACACAACTGTACATCCAGCGGCCACACCTGGGTGTGATCGATGGGGTCAAAGTGTGTGTGTGTCCAGGATTGTGTGACAGTATGTGTGAGGGATTGTGTCTGACAGCATGCGACTGGTACTCCCTTCCTGCTGGAGTTCACATCATAACCCTGAGCAACCTCAGTTCAGGCTCCGAGCTGCAGCTCAGGGTGTTCAGCACAAGCCGGGCACAGATGGGACCACCTTACTACTCCCGCCCCTTTAAAACAAGTGAGGAACCACTTTTAATACAACTGTAGCACATACTTATGCACATGGTTCATGGCAGCAGAGACATTTAAAATCCTTCTATCCTGAAGGTGTCAGAAAAATCCTTTGGACTGATATCTACTTTACGATACGATATACAATACGATACGATATTACTTTATTTGTCGGATCAGGTCTGAAATTTGACTTGCGTCACAGCAGCTCCATGTCCTTTTAATGATCTCAAAACATAGTGGATCCTTCGTTGTTATTGTATTGTAACCTGGAGAAGTCCTCTCATCACCTTTTCTCTCATCACTGCTACAATTGTACTGCCGTAATTTAAAAAACAGTCTACAAATATATATTTTTTAATTTCTTGCAGATTGCAGAAAATAGATATTCACCCTCATATTGTACCACTTTACAGTTTACCTTTTTGGTATTCATTTTTTAAGATTTTTGTTAGCGAAACACCATTTAGGTCAGGCCTCAAGCTAGGGAAACAATGTAAGAATGTATGTTTGATATTAATCTTGTTATGAGCCAGTGTGCTTCTTAAGGGGGAAAGATCCCCTACATTTTAGGGGATTTATTCGCATCAATGACACGGCTGAGCTTTTTTTCTTTTTGCAGCTAAATAAAATTCAAATGGGTTGCCTGGGGAGAAGAATTAATTTTTCAAACAAGTGTACGTGGTGTTTTTTGTTATTCAAACCATGTTGTTTTGATATAATTATATAACTAGAACTTTTAATAAATACGTTTGCATTTGTTATAAAGCACTGTAGACAAACACATTTCATTTTAACTACAATACTGTCCTTAAATAGCATATACATTAGAATGAGATTTAAAAGATATCCCTAATGAAAGTGACCCAGGACCCCCAGGGGTCAGTCGCAATCATGTTTGAGATTAATTCATTTAAATGATAGAGATATAGGCTACATAAATGTATATTTTAGTGGGAATGCTGATACAGCACAAAATTCTTTATTATTCCGCCGGGTTATTTTGTACCTCTTCTTCTCCCACATTTCACATCACAGAAACTCTGTTATTTAATAGTTTAAGATGATATTCTAATCAAACGACTCAATACATATGTTGTGTTTATTTTGAATACATCAAAAATCTTGTTGTTTTACATAACTGAGGCATTCAAATTAAAAAATTAAAATAATATGTCAAATTATTCAAATGAACATACGTCATCTGTATATTCTATGTCTATGTGTTATTGGCTGAAAAAATAATTGGAGGAGTAAGTACAACATGGGTGGGATGTGGTTTGTGATTTTAGGTCTGGCTCCTCCAATCAGAGTGAAGGAAGGTGTGGTGACAGACTCATCCATTCAGCTGCTCTGGGATCAGGCAGAAGGACAGGCTCACAGCTACGAGGTTACCTGCTTCAACTGTCACCATTCACACAAGGTAAACAAACAAAAACATGTTGTCTATGATTTTATTTCGTCAAAGATCCCTCTTCCTGCCAACGTATGCTGTAACTGTAAGGAAGATAACAAGGCTTCTTGGTATTTTTATTTTTGTGATAAAGGTGCAGAAGGTGTTCAATCAGAGTGCAACCTTTTCTACTCTGACTCCAGGCGTGCTCTACCACTTTGCAGTACGAACAGAGAAGGATTCCTTTACAGATAGTTCCCCTGTCACCATCAACATAATTGCAGGTATGCACACACACACACACACACACACACACACACACACACACACACACACACACACACACACACACACACACACACACACACACACACACACACACACACACACACATACACACACTGATATTTCTGTTTAACTCACTAACTATGTGTGGTGTTTTTTATTCAACAGCTCCTAACCCAGTGGAGTTGTCTCTTGTCAATAAAACAACATCATCCGTATGCATTCGTTGGAGTAATATCAGGGGAGTTGCAAGCGGACTCATCCTGTCAATCAAAAACAAAACATCCAGCCAAGAGCTGATCATCCCTCATCAAGAGGCCGGGTCAGTCTCAATCTTGTCAGCCAGTGCACAAATTATTACAATTTCATGAGAGTAGAATGTCCACATTTTATTTTATAACAAGATCTGCTGCTGAGTGCAACATGGTTTACTCAAAGCTTGTGCTTTAAAACACTGACTGTGTGTTCTCAGGTCATACAGCTTCGAAGGCCTCGCTTACGGAAGCCAATATACAATTGAAGTGACAAGCACCAGCGGGGGAAGAAGGAGTAAACCTGCCACTATGATCCTCCATACTTGTAAGTTTCAAAGTTTCAAAACATACAGTAACTGACACCAAATATAGGTTGTGTGTGTGCCCATATTTATGTGTGAAATGATAGTCAGAATGTGAATACAACATAAAATGCATAATGGAGTAAGAAAGTAAGATTTTAAATGGTTTGTAAAGGTAGTTAATGAATTCCATATAAACCTTGAGAAACCAAGTAAGATTGTAGTTCGAAATAAATCATTGTCAGAATAGAAATTATAGCACAAGCTGTTGAGCATAGAGGGACCAGCTATGGGTCTAATGTCTGTTTTCAGTTTCTTTCCCGTGCCGGTTTAAAGTGAACCTATACAGTATGTAAAAAGTTCACTCCCATGCTTGTTATCACATGTGTATATGTATGTATGTATTACCTAGAGATACAAACAATGATTATCAGTCTGTACTTACTGTCACATGCTAATGGGAATATGGTCTCCAGGTCCAGGGATGCCGCAGGATGTGGTTCTTTCGGAGCAGATAGTGACGTCTGTGTTTGTCACCTGGAGAGCACCACCAGGACAGGTGGAGGGGTACACGGTGAGATAAAACTACTGCACCTTATTAATCACAGAAGGAGATTTATTTTCACATTCTAACTTTCAAGAAGTCCTTGTCATTTGTCTTACAAACACATTTTTTTTTTTGTTCAAGGACAAATGAGGCCTCTTGCGTCAGGGCCTGCACTGCACTCACCTGTTGGTTACTTAGCAACCTTTTGTCGACACACCACAGATTGAGTTACCAGCCCTTTAAAGATGTATGACCTCTATAGAGCCCCGACCAGGGAGAATGACCAAGCACATTACATACCCACAGAAATAAACTAGAAACATTATTCGATATACAGGATTGAACAACAAAAAAGTGTAATTGAAACTTGAATGACGTTTTGTAAGGCCTCAAAAGGGATTTATTTTGTATTTCTCAGCTTGTTTTTGGCCTGCGGTCTGTGGACAGGAAGTCTTGGATTGAGGTGCTTGTCCGGAGCACACGTTATGAGATCAGGGATTTGATCCCGGGATCAGACTATGGTGTCAGTATTCAGAGCGTGCTGGGCTCAGAAACCAGTCAGCCCGTCCTCCGAGAGTTCAGCACACGTAAGACACACTCATGCATGCAGGTACACTCACACAAAAACCGACAGGCCTTAAATCTGTGCAGCATTACAGAACGCTTTTGGTGATTCCTCAGTTAGAACATAAAGCCCTAGCGACACAGACAAATACATTAAATGTGGCCTAAGAGATGAAAACTAAAGGTGTAAATAAAACAAATATTTGTTTCCAGGCCCAGCAGGATTATGCGCCCTTCATGTAGAAAACATGAACTCCTCCTCTGTCTCTGTGAGCTGGGACAGTGCTGTAGGAGAGTTTGACTTTCACAGAGTCACTGTGGTCAACACGTCAGTCACAAACACACTCACCGTGCCCAGGGAGAAGCGGGTTGCCGTGCTTACAGGTCTGGCGGACGGCTGCAGCTACAACGTGAGCGCTGAGAGAGTGAGAGGGGTGAAAGCAGGGAGCGCTGCCTTTCTGACTGTGACCACAGGTAGATGAAAACACGAGGGGCTGCAACACAACATAATCTCCAACCCTGATTGCCTTTTCACTAAATTACTGAAACTGTCTCACCTGTCTGACTCCATTTCTCCCTTTACTGTCTTCCTTGAGTGCCAGCCACTGTGCGAGGAGTGCGTATCATGAATGTGTCGGCACATGCATTCTCGCTTCACTGGGAGCAGGCGGCGGGGTGTGTGAATCACTACCAAGTCACCCTTCTACCGAACCATGGAAAAGTCATAGTGCACCCTGCACATGACGGATATATTGAGGTACACACTCACACTGGGTAGTTGAAATGATACATTTATTTAATTTGTATTTAGTTCATCACCAAATAAAGTCATTGTCAACATTTAGACAACAGGACAGTAGAGTTTGTGTGAATACCAAGACCTTGGAGGAGCCTAGCATTGTCTTGCTCTTGACTTGCAGCTGAGTTATGATTCTAAATGCACAAAATACATAACCACTCAAACATGCATGCATTATCATTCCTCCCATTCAACCAAATCCCGCCCCTTGCTGTCTCCTACCAGCTGCCAGGTGTCGGATACCCCCCAAAATGTAACCTTACACAGCAAACACACAGAGGCACACAGTTGAGTAATAGATCTCATTATTTATTGAGTTGGCCTCATGAGCTCAACCCTGAATCATTCATTTGCTTAAGCAGCTCTCCCCGGAGAGAGAGACAAGAGGGAGAACGTTAGCCTTGTGCTAATGAGAGGACCCTCTGCCTTCCCTGGTTAGCCAAAACAACTTTTGGAATACCTCAAGACCAAGAGCTGTTTATTTCCGATGCCTGGATAATTAACCCTGTGATCTTTACTCATGTCACTAACCGGCTCCTAAACCTGGAGTTATTCCTGTTTACCTCTGTGGATTACCTGTAGATCACTGCTAACCATCAAGCACTAACACTGGATGCATGTTTCCTGGCGGGGCCTCTAACCTGCTGTGTCTAAACTAAAGCTAACTCTGCTACCCAGCATGGCCTTCTCCTCTCTCGTCCTAATGCTCACACTCTGCCTGGGACAGGTGCACTCACAGGTAAGAATTCAACACTCAATATATGGCATTGCTGTGCACATAGGTGTTTATATGCCAATATACTGAAGATAATATTAACACTAACAGACTGTAAAATGTTTGTTTATATTTCCAGTTGGTAACATAAGTTATTAGTGTGATTCATCACCGACCAACATACTGATATCACAGGAGCAAATGTTGGTTGAAACACACACTAAAGCAAAAAGACTGCAGGACTGTTTTCTGTCACCCAGACACATACATAAATAAACAAGCTAGCAGAAACAAGCTGTCATCCATTTACAACCACCCACCTTTGTATTGATGCAGATGGCTGAAGATTCAAGGTTTCGCTTTACATTTTTGTGATGATTCTTCAGTAGTCTACATGATGAAATACAATAACAGAAGGCTGTTGAGGTTTCTATAGGAATTGTTTTGATTTTTCTTGCTTTTATTTACAGAAACTTTTTTTCTCAAACAAATACTTACTAAAATTCTCTATTTCCAACTCCACAATTATGAAAATGTTCTGCTTTCCGATATGTTGATATGATACCAAAATAAATATCTGGGAATGTGACTTTTGCCAAAAACAATTCAATAAACAAGCAACATTTGAGGCTTTATGAAATTGTGGTAGGACATTTTCTCCATTCTCTTATATAGTTATAGAGCAATGTACACTTTAAAAAACCATTAATTCTTTAATTAACATTCTTTTAAATCATGACGAGGGTGTTAATGAAAGAATTCTTGATTGACAATGTATTGCTAAATGTGTGTTGACACAGGCCGATGTGGTGAATGTCAGTCCGGGGACACAGTACAGTGTAACGGTCTCAGCATCCTCCTCCTCCAACATCAGCCCCGGAGTCAGTCGCATGATCAACACCAACGAGAGCGGTAAGACGTGCGCGCTGTTGATGCTACGATACTGTTGTACGATTACATTACATGTCATTTGTTAGACGCTTTTATCCAAAGTGACTTACATACATTTGGTACTGCGGACAATCCCCACAGGAGCAATTTTGGGTTGAAGTACAAGTGCCATCAAGTTCTTGTCTGCCCTCTGCTGTACAAATCGGTTCTTGTATAGCACATACACACTTGCTGAGAGAAAGGGGTCAGCACTGTGTGTGTCTTTGTATGTGTGTTAGGGGCGGGGGGGTTTATACTCCCTTCCCTGTGTAATTCCTCTTAGGTAATTTAAGCCAGAGCTTTTGAACCGCAGAATGAATGGGTCTGCAGTGAATGTCAGTGAAATGCCACTGCTGTGTGAGGCCTTATTCATTAGAGTTCAGCCTTACAAACACACACACACACACACACACACACACACACACACACACACACACACACACACACACACACACACACACACACACACACACACACACACACTAACCCTTTCAAGATAAGTCCCTGACAGACAACAACACTATTCTTCAAGTTACCCGGATATTGTGTTCAATTTAGTTTTGATATACAGTAGTTATCTAACACAATATATCAATATTAGATGCTTGCCCTATTTATGATATTAAATACTGTAGAGTAAATATGAGACTCTTCTCTCCTCCACACACTTCCCTTCTCTTCCTGTAGTTGCTGGACCACCTTTTGGCCTAGAAGGAGAGGCCGTAGGATCTAATGGTATTCTTCTCTCCTGGACAACGCCATCTAATGGCAATAATATTGACGGATACATCATAAGGTAATTCTTTGTTGTCTACTTGGAAAACTGTAATTCAAGACTTGGCTTGAATACAATGAATTCTCTATTACCACGGGTCCATGTACATAGGCTGTGATTCTGAAATTCACAATACAGGAAACCTTTGTTGTCTTTGTCTAAGGCAGCACAATTGTCTTTGCAAATGGCAATCAGGTGCTGAGTCATCATGAGATCATGAAAACATATAAATGTAGTTAAAGACAATTTAAAGATATTTAATGATATAAAAACATATCATAGTGTTGTAAAATATAAATAATGTGTAATATATAACTTATTTGCTCTTACTTACTATGTACATTTAGGTATCTATGTGAATTACACACTCTATTTCTCCTTTTTAAGTCTTCATTTAATACGAAAATAACCCATTAAAGACTTTTTTAAAGATTTTTTTTCTAAAATAACCCAACGAGAGACATTAATTTCAGCAGACAATATTCAGGTTTTAAAAGCTAATTATATTTATAATAGAATTGCCCTCTCATACCCCTCTGAATATAATGGAGTATGGTAACATAAAATAGAAATACTAAGTAACAAGTACCATAAGTGTTTTTTTAAATAATGTACTTGAGTTATTGTTCTTGTTAGCCAAATTTACTTAAATCCAAATTAAGATTTGGAGTACCAAATTTAACCAGCCTGGTACTGTGTGGTAAAATGTGAGTTGGGAGATGATGATCGTGAAAACTGATTTCTCTCTGCAGGTACAAGGAGGTGTGTCCCTACCCCGACCCCACATTCACACAGGTGACCAAGTACCTGGACATCCCAGAGACCCTGCTCACTGACTTCACCTCCGGCTCTACATACCACATCGAGGTGAGATAATCAACTCAAGGTTGATGCCGTCACAGGGTAGCTGATAGGAATGTGCTTTGGGAAACTCAAATACAACCAGCCGAAGATTTTTCCAAACATACAAATTCAATGGGTATGAATGTTAGATGTGGTATTACATATTCTTTTTTTCTTTTTCTGAGACCTGTCCTCCTGTATTATCATGCGGACAGATCCCACTGGAGCAGACTATTCTCTTGATCTGGCTTAATGCTGGTAATTGATCCTGATTGCATTATTAATCAGGTAAACAGATATATGGATCAGCCATGGCTCTTTCCACTGTCTGTTGTCACTGAGCTTGAATGTGATCATGCTTATTAGTTTTCAGAATTCATTAACCCACAATGACCTTCATACAAATGGACACACAGCGGGATTATACCTACCTTGTGTGCGTGCGTGTACTGTATGCTTATGAGTGTGTGTGCATGTATCCTATTACTACATCTCACCTGTGAGTGTGTGGGCCCACCATGCCATGCACAAAGCTGAGCTGACAAACTATCAAAACATAAATACTGTAAGCTGCAACTAATATGTCGCAAAAAAAGATTTACATATAATTAAGTTGTATACTTATTGATAAGTTAAAATGTGTATTTAATATACAATGCTTTTCATAGTGGTCCAGTACAAATATAAAGTAAATAAAGCTGCAGATGGATGTTCCAAGACGTTTTAGAGGGGGCATTAATTATTGTCCTTTTAGATGAATACTCCATTAGCCTGATAATCAGACTTAAATTGGTATTTTACTTTCATGTCATTATTAATGTATTTGTCATTCATTTTAATGTATTCTGTTTAAATCAATTCCGAGTGCTTTTAATTACTGTCAACATACCTGTGTATAATGTATCATTATTGCAGTGATCATTGCCTTAGATGCTAATCCATGCCCTATTGACAGGAGAATGAATTAATGATTATACATACTTCCTCTCTTACTCTCTGTCACTTCAGGTAGCAGCCATATCTCCAGCTGGAATAGGAGCCTTCAGCAAATCTTTATACATCAAGACAGCGGAATCCCGTGAGTTTTCATGCACACCTATTTGCATAATAATCTTTACATCTAAAAGACTAATGTTCTTGCTAATTGTTTATGTATTTGTGTGTGTGTGTGCATTTCCTGCAGCCCCTGGCCTGGTGACCAACTTGACAGCGTTTTCTCAGAACCACACCAATGTGTTGGTTACCTGGTTCCTGCCGCACCGCATCAACGGCCTCATCACAAAGTTTGCTGTCAAGGCTAAACACGCTCGTACCGGGCAGACGGTTCGCACGCTGGAGGTCAATGCAGAGGACATCATGACCGGGGCGCTGCCTCACTGCAATGTAGTCATTCTGTCACCCTCTTTTAATTCAACTGTTATTGTGAAATGTTCTGTTTGTGTCAGCATTTTAGATGCTACCAAGGCACAAATCCGGCCATGTGTATTATATAAGGCTTGAATTGTCCTTTATGATTTTGTATGTGCAGGATGCAGCCGATATCCTGTCACGTGCGACTCCCAGTCCCGTGGAAATAACAGCCTCGTTGTCACCCATCACCCACTCCGCCGTGCCCCCTGCAGCCGCCTGGAGTGTGCCCATATCAGTAGGGGTTGATCAGCTACGCCCTTATACCGCATATCTATTCGAAGTTTCTGCCTTCACCTCTGACGGAGAGGGACAGATAGCCTCCACTATGGTCCGCATGCCAGAATCAGGTGTGGAAAAAGGACTAAACCAGGCCGTAGCTTCTGTCTAACTGGTGTATTGATTAGTGGGATATTCAATATTTGCAACATTTAAGAACATCTTTATTTCTATCTCTGCAGCCCCAGAAGACTCCCCAACAAACTTTGTTGTATTGAATATGACATCTAGATCTATATCCGTGTCCTGGAGCTCTCCCAACATCATCACAGGAAAAAACACCTATGTTATCTACCTTTATGGACCTACAGGTTTTAAAATACACTCTTGCTCTCACTCACATTCATGCATAATTTAGGTCTTAAACTCTAAACTGATTGAAATCCACACATTTTTCTATTTCCCCTTCATCCCAGGATATTTGTATGAGAACAGCACAGCAGACACGCGGTTTGCTCTGACTGGTTTGAGTCCCTTCACAAGGTACACGTTGGCCGTCAGAGCCAAAGTGTCTGGAGAAGTAGGCCCAGCAGCGCAGGAAGATGTGATTACACCTGCAGAAGGTGGGTGTACTTGCATACTAATATGTTATTTTGCATTTAGGTGAATCCTCATAAATTCACTCATAACTTTATTTTGGGGAGGAAAAGGATGACACAAAAACACGCAGAGCTACAGAAATGTCAAAGATGACACAGTAAAGTCTAATAAATATTCCCGATGTGTAGAGGTGTGTTTTCTGTACTTCTATGTCTGTGTCTAATTCTCTTTGGCTCTTTATTTGTGTGAGTAGCACCCAGTGCAGTGCAGGACTTGATAGCTGAAGCTGAGGATTCAGTTTCAATCCGTGTGAGTTGGAGGATCCCTGCCCAGCCCAATGGTCCGATCATACAGTACAAACTGCAGGTTCTGGCTGGCGTCACCCTGCTGCAGGACATCACCCTCACTGCTGAAATGGTAGGCCAGATAGTAAACATATTCCTAAAACCACCAAAAATGTATCCCAATACAGTTTAGTAATGATAACAATTCAGTTTTAAAACCTGAGCCTGTTCATCTAGAAAGGTTGGAGCAAATGTTACTGTTAATCCTGCATTTACTTACTATACATATTGAAGAAAAGAGGATTTGCAATGTAAAAACTCCTCTCTTGATGGCTGTCAGGGAAAGGACAGAGTAGCATAAACACCTGTACAAGTTTTCGACTGCCCTTTAGAAAAACTGCCCCCAACCCCAAAACTACAGACAGACTATAAACTCTAGTTTTTTCTTCTTTCAGAATACAACTGATTTGCCTGAAGATGACACTGTTCCCCCTGATGTCAGTAACAATTCCGGGCGACGTAAGAGAACAGCTGAGCTCAGTCTGATCACATCTCCGCCGACATTCACTGCCACTGTCCCCGATCGCACACTTCCCAAACGTTCAACTGCTTCTGGCCTTACACACTCTGGACAAAGAATTGCCGACCAAATCACTAACACCTATGCTCAAGTAACCGCTGCCTCCGCGGTCACCGAGGAGCCCAACACAAGTTACATTTCTGCTTCACACTCTGACAGCACAAACACTCAATCCTCTGACTCTGCAGTCTCTGGGACTTCTTCATTTTCTCCTACCTCTGTGCCACCGGCTACGCCTCCACCCTGGCTCACAAAGCAATCCCAGGCTGGAGATCTGACCTCAGATTCATCACGCTTGGCCCTGACCCCAGGCCAGCTACGCTTGTTTACTCAAGATGCATCAATTACAGGAGCCTTTTTAACACGCAACACAGCAACTTCTGGTGCTAAAGGTGCGAGAGAACTCCCAAAACACACTGCTTCCCTTAACTTCCTGCAGCCCATTGTAAAAGTATTTTTTATCTGTGCTTATAAATTGTGTGTGTGTGCTCTTGTGTATCCATCTGTGTATTGCATGCGTGTTGCAGGTGTAACAATGAGAGAGGAGGTGATGGACGTGTTGTCTGAGGAGTTGTCTTACCTGGTGTCAGATCTGAATCCCTTCACCGAGTACACGTTCAGGGTCACTGCTTCCACACCAGTGGGAGAGGGTCCTGCAACAGATATCACTGAGAAGACCAGGGAGCAGGGTGGGTGCACCATTTCATTACAATACATTTAATTTACACATGCTAAATTGGTGAAATCAACCATTTGTATACAACCCTGAAACAATACAGCTCGTCAAATAATGTATGTTAATATTCTAAGTTCTAAGTTTAGAAAGAATAGGAAAATATATATAAAGTATTTAAAGTAATTAGTATTGACAATTAAATATCATAACAAATTATCAGGCCTGCAAAACCCCCAAAACAACATATTTATTTTATAATGTCTAGTTCTGTATGTTTTGTTTAGTCCCTAGCTCAGTGCTGGAAGTGTCCTATCAAAACATCAGCTCCACCTCCATACTAGTGAGCTGGGCGCCACCGCTTAACCCCAACGGGCGGATCACACATTACACCGTCTACGGCCTCAAACTGCACAGTGATCAGGCCCTGAAGTGGTCTACCGACGCTACCAGCATATTGATAACGGGTAGATAAATCACCTTTTCTGTACAGTCATTATACTCAATATAATACAGGTTGTTGATAAATATCTATTGTCTAATGTATAGATCTGGACAAGTATACTGGTTATAAGCTACGCGTAGCTGCTTCTACAGCTGTGGGAGAGAGCTCCCTGTCGGAGGACGATGACATCTTTGTTTTCACCTTAGAGGACGGTATGTGCTGAAAACAAACTTGAGACAATACAAACACAACGGTCAAAACATTTGTTAGAGTTGTTAAAATAATGCAGATATTGTGTTTTATATGTTTCTGAAGCTGTTTTACCTTCTTTCTTTATTGTTGTGGGTGCCTAGTCTGTGGCATGCAAACTATCAACAATTAAATGTATTATTTTGCTCCCAATATTTATTATGAGGATATTTCAGCCTAATTATTGGATTGTTTGATTTTATTTTGTTCAATTCATTTATATTTTATCTGTGATTTTCTTGTCGCTCCATCCCCAGAGCCTGACTCCCCCCCTGTGAACCTCACTGTGGTCGCCACCAGCCCCCTCGCCGCCACATTGGCCTGGTCCGCCCCAGAGCAAGCCAATGGGATGATCCAATATTACGAGGTCCAGTATGAGAACGAGTCCTACTCTGAGTTACTGAACACATCCTCAAACACAGCAACTCTGATGAACCTGAAGCCTTTCTCCTACTACAACGTGACTGTGAAGGCGTACACCCGTTACGGCCACGGCAACCAAACGTCAGAATCTTTGTACCTGCTGTCCGGAGAAGATGGTGTGTTGATGGATGCATTTAACAACATGAATGCTAGAGCTGCAACAATTAGTAGAATGATTGATTAGTTGATCGACAGAAAAATAATCCTAAACTAAATCTATTCATTTGTAAATAATCTCTAATGCAGAAATGGTAAAAATAAATTCTGTTTTCAAACTCTGAAAATATAGAAATGTACTGCTTTCCTGGGTAGTACATCTTACTAAACTAAATATATTTTTTTGACTGAAAAACAGGATTTTTTTTAAAGAAAACATCTAGGATTTGGGATACTGGGATGGATATTTTTAACTATTAACTATCCCATAGACCAAACAATTATTCACTCATTTACAGAATAATCTTTGGATTTATCAATGATTCAAATTGTTGTTGGTTGCAGCTACTGTAGCTAAAATGCACTTATTAAAAATATTGAGTAAAAATACCACATTTTCAGATTTTAATAACATTGCATCTTCTTGTGTTCTCTCTTCAGTCCCGGGCAGTCCTCCGTATGACGTTACTTATGAGTCGGTCAGTCCCAGCGAGGTGAACGTGACCTGGCAGCCCCCTCTGCTGCCAAACGGGATCATTACCCACTACAGCCTGCAGCTGTGGAACTCCAGCCACTACCTGAACCTCACCTCCCCTACCAACTACATCCACATCACACACCTGAGGAAGTACGCCAACTACCGCGTCATGGTGCAAGCACACACACGCGTTGGGCCTGGGAACTACAGCAGTGATCCGCTGAACATCACTACACTGGAGGATGGTGAGAAGGGTCGGGGGGGGATGGAAAGAGGGAGGGTTTGTTTTCAGATCCAGGACGCTGCACGATTACATCATGACAGAGTTCGGAGGGCGTCTGATTAAATCTGACTTTCCTCTCGTCTTTTCCTTCTCAGTTACATCTCTCTGTTTCAGATCATGCTAATGGTGTTACATCACAGGTGTTTGATGCCACGTGACGCTCTTGTCTCCAATCAGCTCTGAGAAGCTCATACAACAGAGTCCTTTCAACTAACCAGTCTTTTATTTCAGGGAAACATTCAGTTTCTCTCGGGCACTTTCCTGAGGGGCCATCTGAGGTTCCTAGTTCCCCAGTGCAAATCTATTTTTCATCACTCATCAGTGTCTGTATTGATTAGGCCCATCCTCCTGATTGTGTTTTTTCACTGGAAAGTCTTTCTCCTGCATCTCAGCCCCAAACACAGCTCCTCAGTTTCTCCTCGCCAGGAAGTTGTCAGATTATGAGTTGGAGTTGTCATGGCAACCACCGCACGAAGCCAATTCAGACATACTCTACTACAAAGTCAGAATTTGGTGAGTTTCCTAATTTCCTTCTCCCTGTTTGGCTGTAGAGATTCAGAAACACATTGTAACATAAATAGTGGCTCTCTTTGATAGGAATGAAACGACTGAGCTGTGGCAGAATGTGACGGGGACGTCAGTGGTTATTAATGTAGACTCAGAGAGCCGCTACAACGCCTCTGTCTCCAGCTGGACCCGACTGGGAGATGGAGGAGTGCTGATCTACATTAGCTTCACCACCACTGATGCAGGTGCTGGAGGATGTTTAAGACCATTAAGACAAATTACATCAGAAGAATTAATCACCATGTGTGTATGAAGTTTCTTCCTCGTTCTGAATATTTATCTCTGTGTTTCTCAGAACCATTTGACTCCCCGCAGAATGTGACTTTTGCAAATGTGACCGCCTCCTCTGTCACCCTGCTGTGGCACCCGCCTACTGAACCTAATGGACTCATTGTACACTACTCTATATACTACTCTTATAACAACACTGTGGCTGAGCAGGTGAGACACAAACTTTGGTTTCCTCGCACTGATCTCAGTAACCCTCTTCCAGCAGCAGGTAGTTCTTGCCAGCTAATCACTCTGCATGCTCCCTGCACAGCATCAAACAGCAGAGCTAGTGACAGGCTGGTGAACACAGTGATCCTGTTAGCTACTAAAGAAACAAATCATTCTCTCTGGAGTCGGCGGAGAACAAAGCAGAGCTAAAAGATAGAAAATGTTGGACACAATCGAAACTCTGAATTTGGACAATTTAGCAATACTGCCTTGTTTCTGCTGGATGTCTAAATTATGAACTAATACTAACTAGTAAATTGCTAAGAAATGCTTCATATCAACGTTATAACTTCATAATACAGCAGGGTTGGCCTAACTGCTTGTTATGCTGTCCTCAAGGCCAAAATATAAGAAAATAATAACAAGCATTAAATAATCCCTCTGGCTGGGTTCGGAAAGGACTGAAGATGTATGATGCTGTCTTCATAACACTATATAAATAATTGACTTTTAAAAATCTGTGAACAAACAATTCTTCATGGCCAAATATTTGTTTCTGCATTTATTTTTAAACGTTTCAGGTGCTTCTTTATTTTTATCCATGGTCTAAATTAATGCAGATTCTTCCTGACTGCTTGTGGTAAAAAAAAGACATTTAATGTTGGGTTTTTCTTTCATTTGAAAAGCATCTGTTCTGCTCTCTTTACATTTCGCTTGAAGTGTATGAAAACCAAACTAACATTTGTTTTTCTCCATAGAGGGTTCCAGTGTCAGACCTACCTGAGCCGGCCTCTCCTGATTCAGCCCTCTACTTCACTCTGACCCGGCTGATTGGAGGCACAAACTACACGCTGTGGATGACCTCTAGCACAGTGCAGGGGGACGGGGGGGTCCAGAGCGAGCCACTTGTCCTGTTCTTACCTGAGGACGGTCAGTCAGACACACCTGCTGACACACACCCACATGCACCATGTAAATAATAATAAAGAAATAGAATTACACATGAAATACTACACATAAAGCTAGATATATTATTGTACAACGTCTCACTGGATGGTTAGTCTGCACACTTTTTCCAAAACCTCTTCAACTTATAAAAATGAAAATGACATAAAAACTCTGCGATTGAAGATGGGACTTTCAGCCTGTTAGTAAAAGGGAATAACAGTCGGTCTTGCAAACTGGCTCTATTTTTGTCCGCCTGTGACGCCTTGGAGACAGCCAGTTTGCGTTTCCTTTTGCGAAGCATGACGAAAGTTGTAAGGGATTAAAAGACACAGAGAAAAATGGAACTGTAGGATTTAAGTAAAATAAAACAGCCTTTACGTTCGTGCTGTGCCATTGCTACAATTGCCTTGTCACATAAATCAGAATTCCAATGTAATGTTGTAGTTACAAATCCTCAGTGTATAAAGTAAATAAATATCTCTCTGATCTCTTTGTTTTTATGTTATTTTGGGAAAAATGGTGCAGACAACCGCCACAGACTTTGTCACAAACAGTTCATATTTATATGCCATGATTCATGTTTTCTTGTTTAGCCGTAGTGATAGTTTTCTATGTTCTGAACTATTACTGCTCATACTGACTCTGTATCTCTACCTGTGCTCTAGTTGTTCCACTCTCAGCAAAGCACCGGATCTCCAGGGCACAGCCAAGTCCCCCCCCCCGCTGGGCTCAGACCCCCAGTCACACCTGGCCCCTCACATCCACTCATTCATCTCATGGATCCCCTCCCCTTTCCCCTTCATCCCCACTTTTTTTCTCATCTTTGTACCATGCGTAATCTTTGGAGGGGCAGAGACGATGAACAGGATGAGTATTTTCCCCTCAACCTCTTTCTTTCCCAAGGTTTTCCGTGTGCTCGTTTCCCTCCTAAATGCCACTTTATGTCTCTGAATGTGCTGTTTATATATTTATATGTTATGACAATGTGTCTAAGCCTGTTTACTGTGCTGTCTTACTGCTTTGTTTTTGTTTTGTTAAAATACTGACATGCTGAATTGTTCTCCTTGACATGCTGTTTTTGATTTTGTGAATTCCGACAATGCTGCCAGTAATTATGACGATGCTTGTGATAGATGATGATTATAATGATGATAATGATGATGACTGGTGCGCTCTTCATTTTCCCCTCAAGTGTCAGTGTGTATGTTTGATTGATGCCCTTATTTACTGCCTCATAGTACAGTAAACTCACATTAAAATGTTTTGAATCAGTGTCGTCAATGTTAGTGAAAAATAGTAACACCATTCTTCTTGTTTCCTTCTCCAGTGCCAAGTGACTCAGTGAAAAACCTGACCGCTCAGATCTTCAGCTCCACTGCCATCATCGTCAGCTGGGACCCTCCCCTGGAGCCCAACGGCCGTCCCACCTACCTGCTCACCTTACAGGCGGCTGGCATCTTCCCAGACCCACCCAACCAAGGGGCTTCAGCTGTCAACAAGACCATCAAGCATAGCACGACTGACACAGTCTTTCTGTTCACCAGATTGAGGAAATATTTCCCCTATGTGTTGACTGTTACGCCGGCAACTCGTGCTGGCGCGGCCTACAATCATACCAGCACGATGTATCTGCGAACAGATGATGATAGTGAGTTTATCTACACAAACATCTATTAATGGAGTGTGGTTTATGTTTTTAATGTGAAATCGTTCCTCCTTAGTTCCTAGTTCTGCTCCGGTGCCGGTGTCCACCAAGAATCAGTCGTCATCCTCTATCGCGATGGTCTGGCAGCGCCCTCTGGAGGCCAACGGGGAGATAACAGAATATACCCTCACTCTTTTTGGCCCAGGGGGCTCCAACACAACTCAAACCCCCAACACCTCGTTCATCCTCAGCAACCTGCTTCCATACACAGCTTACAACATCACTATTACAGCTGCTACGCGTAAAGGCTCAGGACCCCACCTGCTGCTGCAGCTGCACACCGATGAAGGAGGTTAGTGGGGAAACATGTCTATGATGCTTTATAAACACACTTTTCATAATTACTTTAAAGGTTAGCCAACATAAATGCTTGTAATTGTTGGTCACTCGCTGATATTATTTTAAAATGGTCTTAGTGTGTTATAATTCCTGTAGTTGTAATGCATGGTTATAATGCAACTAATAATAATAATTCATGGTATTTATTTTAGCGCTTTTCCAAGTGCTCAAATCGCTATATACATATAATAAACACATTGATTACTCTGGACAATACCCACAGGAGCAATATGGTAAAACTATGGGAATTATAATACAAAATAATCCATGCAGAAAAAAACGTACTAGATACTTAACCTTATAAATCATTATGAAATGCTTTATATTGTGTTATAATGGTTGTCAGCATTATGAATACTTATAAGTGCTTAAAACCATAACTTACGGTGTAATAAGATCCATAACATTCATCTGTTTGCAACTTAAAAAAACGATTTATCTAGTATATCATATTCCAAATTACTATAGACTATTCTTCTATTCAATTGTATTTGTATTTACTTGCACTATTGTATCTGTTTTATTGTGCTGCACTGTTGGAGGAGCCTGTGACCTAAGATGTTCATTGACATGACTACACTGTAGCTATGTACAAATGTCAATAAAAGCCTTGAATCTTGAAAAAATCCATTGTAATTACTTATAATACAAAACATAAACAAAGACATCATAGAAAGTGCTACCAATATTTATCTAAGATCCTTGATAGATGGTAATGAAACTACGAAGGTATCCTGACTACATTCTGTTTCAGTCGTTTAATCTGTTTACCATACTTTGTGTTTCAGGCCCCATGTCCCCCCCCCGTAACCTGACCATATATAACCATACAGCGGTCTCTGTGTGGCTGAGCTGGGAGCCTCCTCTGGAGCCCAATGGAGTGGTGATACAGTACGGCTTCAGGATCCGAGACCTCATCACACACACCGTCACACACAGGGTACCGACAATTTCACACACCAAAAGCTACTCCTCAATAACAAAATCACACTCACACTAACACACACTCCAGAGAAAAAAAGTGTCACACTTGCGGTAGCTCTAATTTCACACTCTAGATACCACTCAGCAGTAACATTATACACACGGGCACGTACTGTATGTGTGCTAATTCAATAAGACACCCACTCCAGGAAGCAGGATTGGATGATTTGTGTGTGTGTGTGTGTGTGTGTGTGTGTGTGTGTGTGTGTGTGTGTGTTCAGAATTCCTCTGGGCCGTCGACCATCGAGGATCTTTCAGGCTTCAGGCCTCATAGCTCCTACGAGATCAGTGTTTACAGTTACACCAGAGTGGGCCATGGGAATCAGTTCAGCAGCCCTGTGGCCTTCACAACTAATGAGTCAGGTAAAGTACACAGGGGATGTGAGAACGATAAAGGTCTCCCATCACAATTTATGAAGGTTGAAAATAAAATTGATTTGTACAGTGTATTTAATTCAGTTTGAAATACCTTATTTTTCCCTTAAGGGGCAATTAAATCAAAGCATAAATGCAAGCATTAGACCATTCAAACATGTCCTCCACATGTAAACACAGTAAGCCATTCATTTCTGAGGTAATCAACATTTTATAACCAGTTATCACTTCTTGTCCTATTAACAAACAAATGTAAACAACAACAATTGTCATATACAGACATAAAACATCATTTTTTTCACAAGCACATAGAAAAATGTGACTCCCCTCAGTTTCTGGCTATACAACAAAAAATAAATGTATAAATAAAAGTTGGTAATTATTGTTTGTAAAAAATGTTAATCAGTTTTTTTAGGTTATTTTTAGTTTTGTCTGCAGGCTGAATTTTTGTAATTTCCAGTAATATAAAATAATCTTTGGCAAAACTATGTGTGTAGCAGCCGTTTTTAATGTGCGACAAAAAAGCAACCAAAATTTCATTCGTTTTTTTCTTCCTCTTACAGTGGACAGTGATGAATGCTTACTTAAGCTAATAGTACTATAACAATGTTCCAATGTCATCTCCCTGTCTGCAGTGTCTGACGCTGTGGGGAACCTGTCTTGCTCTGGAGTTAGCTGGGATTCAATTCAGCTGTTTTGGGAACATCCAAGCAACCCTAATGGGCAGATAATGTTTTATGAAATTCTAGTGGAGGTTGACTCGCAGTCATACACACACCAGGTTTACACACCAGTGTACACAGTGACAGGGCTGTCTCCAGACCAGGAGTACGCTCTCACTGTGTCTGCAGTTAACTCTGCAGGACCTGGAGACGGACTGAACTGTACTGCTTCCACTCTCTCTGAATCAGGTAATCACTCTGTGTATTGTGAAGCATTTTTATCTTTAATTTCCGAACAAACAATAAGACAGGATGAATACTTGTCTCTATCAACTTTGTTCCCTTTACAGCCCCCGCTGCCCCTCGCTTCCTCACCATCTCTCAGGTCACCCCTAACAATGTGACACTTCAGTGGGCTGCACCGCTCTCCATTCCCGGCCTGCTGAAAGAGTACCATGTCATTGCACAGCTGATTTCCACTGTTTGCGAACCAAACACACTAACTACTGCACAGCCGGCCCCAGAGGACGAGCCGACCTCAGACTGCGTTCACTCTAATGTCACAGTGTCGGTGAATGCTTCGGACCACATTGACGGGAGCCTCAGCGTCACACTCCAATCCCTGGCTAAATACCGATACTACCGCTTCAAGGTGGCTGCTGTGACCAACGCCGGGGTTGGAGAATACACACTCTGGAAATATGAACGCACCTTGGCTGGAAGTAAGAACATCACAGTGATTATAGGATGTTTTAGAATTGCCTGTTGTTATGGTTGAGTGAAGCAGGCGGGACCCAAATGCAGAATAAACTGAAAAAATACCTTTATTTCAAGGTCTAGAGGCACAAACAGAACACTGACACGAAAACACAGTCAAAGACAAACAATGAACCAACTGACAGACAGAAAAACCAGAACTTAAATACACACAAGACTAATCACACAAACCAGACACAGGTGAGGAGGGAGGAGAAAACACAGGGGCACCAGGTGAACACAATCGGGTAATTAGGTAGGAGGGAAAACAGACAGACAGCAACAGGCAAGACAGGAGGTGAAGACATTTCAAAATAAACACAGACAGATCGTGACACCTGTGATGATTTCCAAGGATTTCCAGTAAACAAAAATTGGATTTAAATCTAGATTATTCCTGTAATAGTTATTTGGACTTTGGCATGTCTTTCAAAAGACTTAAACAGCATTCAGCTATCAACATTAGCATGCTAACAAATCATTCATTATCTTATTAACATGATTTTTTAAGGCTTTTAAAAATGTAAATAGCATCATAAGCATAATTTATCTCCTCCCTCAGACCCTGATGACCCTCCCCGGGACCTGAAAGTGACCCCCACCTCCAGCGGACTTCACATCACTTGGAACCCTCCAGCTGTTATCGCTGGACCCACTTCCTATCTTGTGCAGGTCATCTCATTGAATTTTGTTTCTACAGACACATGCAAAAATATGAACATGTCAACTAAATGGTGTTATGAGTTTGTGTGGTGAAACAATATGAATTTCAAATAAAAATGTTCCCATGAACTATCCTGTTAAACCAGGTGGACGGTCCCGGTCTGAACTTCTCTACAGTCCGGGCTCCAGGAGAGCTGACGACCGTTGTTGTGACTGAGCTGACTGCCTTCACTCGTTACTTTGTGACGATCACTGCCTTTACCGGTCCATCGGAGCATGCTGCCAGCGATGGGAAAGCTATCGGACCAATTGAATTTCAAACGCTGGAGGAGGGTATGTAGAAATACTCATCTGAGGAGCACTGGCTACTGCTTCACAGTGAATATATCTGTAATTAATGTTCTCCTGTATAATTTCTACTCTGTCCCCAGAGCCCAAGGACCCTCCCAAGAATGTTGTATTATCAGTTGTCCCAGAGTTAGTGAACCAAGTGAAGGTGACTTTTACCCCTCCAGAAGAGCCCAATGGAAACATTACATCCTACTTTGTGTACATCTACGAAAAGGACCAACTAGTCAAGAACATCAGCCTTAATATCACCCACAGAGACCAAAACACGATGACTGCTGTCATTGAGGGTCTGAAGGGAGGACACAGCTACAGCATACAGGTGAAAAACACACATACAGTATATTACACACACACAGCCTTGTTTGACTCTGTTCAGATCAACATTGTTTTTATCTATAACTCCTCTATATGCTTGCCCCTCTTTCTGCTGTCTTCCCTCCTTTCTTCTATTCGTCTGTTTGTAGATTTCAGCTAAGAACGGGGCAGGTCTGAGCCCACCCAGCTCTCAAGTCCGTATAACTACAGGGATCACAGGTACATGTCACGCTTTGTTATGTGCGCTCTGCAGTGCTTTAATGTGTGCCTCCCTTTCTTGTTGCAGCAGTGCAGCGTAGATGTGAGACACAGAATTGCCGCTGCACAGTGTCATGTTCAGTAAAACAGTAGGCAGGCCTTGTCTGACACAGCTTTACTCCACAATATCGTCAGATGTATGTTCATGATGTAGCGGATAGAGCATCGACCTGTTTGTAAAATGCAACAGGCATTAATGCCATCTTCACACACACTGTATTAATTACTCAACAACCTCTGTGTCTGTCTCTGTCTCTGTGTGTGTGTGTGTGTGTGTGTGTGTGTGTGTGTGTGTGTGTGTGTGTGTGTGTGTGTGTGTGTGCTCCTGCTTGTTCACACGTGCATGTATTCCAGCTCCGGCCAAGCCAACGCAAAGACCCCAGGCAGAGCTGGGCCATGGAGAGGTTGCCATGGTAACCCACAGGAGTATCACCATCCGCATGCCTGCCTGTTTCTATAGTGACGACAATGGACCAATCACAAAAATTCAGGTCATCGTGGCCGAGTCAGGGGGTATGGCTCTTCAGAAACATTGACAGCCTTCACTTTTAGTTGAGCACACTTGGGTATTGGTCTTGTTAGGGCTTTAAGCCTCGACTAGAATCTTGTTTTACAGTACGTCACTCTGCCCTAAGCTCAAAAAAGACTAAATGTATGCATGAGCCAAAGAGCTTAACGTCAGCAGAAATTTGACTCAGTCCCCCTGCGATTCCTTACCTCTCTAACTGACTTACTCATCCTATCACAGTGAAGGACATCCAGAACCTGACCAACTGGAAGAATGCATTCTTCCATCGACCTGACCCTTACCTGACTGACATGGGGTTCCCTAACCCACCGTGTCCTCTTGGGGACGGGGCGCAGCGCACGGACGCACACGTCAGAGGGGGTCGCAGTGTGTCTGCACGGGGCCCGCCCACAGTGAGGAACAATCACACCACAGCAGGAACCTACGTGATCGGACGGAACAATGACTGTGTAAAGGAGAACCACACCGATCATTTCTGCAACGGACCTCTGAAGCCAAAAACAGTCTATGTGTGAGTGCAACACACAAACACACAGCAAAATTAAAACAGTTGTATGAACAGGCTTTACGTTAATAAAAGCTTACACTGGACTGTTCATATTCACCAGGTTTAAGTTCAGAGCCACTAATATTAATGGCCAATACACAGACTCAGTGTACTCGGAGCACGTCAAGACTGCAGGTAATTGTATTCATCTCTGTTTTTCTCCCAATCAATAAATGAAAATATAAAACCTGTACAGAATGTTTGTTGTTTTTGTGTAACGTTGTCTCCTCTCTGAAGTGGACGGACTGTTGACCAGAGAAGAGCAGATCATCCTGGGTGTTTTGCTCTCCGTCACCTTGGCTGTGTTGCTCATCATTATCATCTGTGGCTCTGTCAAGTAAGATAGCAGCAGGCTTTCAATTATTTGCAAACATGAATACATTAACTTAAACACTTCATTGACATTGATGTAGTATTTTTACACAAAATAAAACATGTGCAAATTCCTTTGTGGATACGGGCCTTTTTTCAATGCCTAATTTGTTATTCACATTATTATAAATATTATTTCTGTATTTTCCTTGTTATTAACTGATGTGTTTGATTGACATGTCAGGATCCATCAGCGCAAGAAGGAGGGCGGGACTTATTCACCCAGAGAGGCAGAGATCATAGAGACCAAGTGTAAACTGGATCAGCTGATTGCTGTGGCAGATCTGGAACTCAAACAAGAAAAACTCAACCGGTTAGTCTGTGTGATTACTTTTAATCTAAGGGCTTCACTTTACTGAATATATCACACAGATTTTTGGCAGCTGAAACTGCATGCACAATTCATGAGTTTAGGCTTGATTTAGCTGCCCCAGACGAGATTCTAAATCTAAGTCAACAAGACAAGAACATCTTCACTGCAGCCAGAAAATAGAATCAGCATCACTATGACACAACACGGCATCATCGGGGCTTTATAGTTTACCTTCAATTCTCAGCATAACAGACAAGTCATCCTTTCTGCAGCTCTCCAACCATCCTCTCATAAAAATTCAGTTTGAGCGTCTTCTTTGGCACAAGCAAGTGCACAGGCAATAGGTGCTGCAAGATGGTGAGAAGCAAAGTGAGATTCAGTTAATTTGGTGCATCAAGGTCACCGATGGCTAGGATTAGACGAAATACTACCCAATAGAAAGCCTTCAACAAAAAATAAAGACTTTCTGTAAACCTTTCTTTCCCCAACATCTAAAGAATACCCATATAATGACAGAATACCAAAGAAACCATGTACTTCTTGTACTGTAGGTGTTAAATGTGGCTTGTCTTCAAGAGGAATTGAATGAACAACAAAATAAACAATAAAAACATAAAACCCACATGAGAGAAGATGGATAAATAGAATAGCTTCCACCGGCAGATAACTGTCTCTTATCTTTTATGTGCAAAGAAACATAACGGTCCTACTTGAGTAAATATTCGCCAGCCTTAATAAATATCCTCTATGACATTTTTTATATGCAGTGACTGCAGAAAAAAGGAGGCAGTCCCTGAGGATACTTTACTGTCCACTCGTTTTAGATGCAACATTGGAGGTTTTTTACAGCTGCATGTTGTGTTCACATCTAAGCTGCACCAGCTGTCTTTTAAAGAGGCCCTATAATGCTTTTTGGGGTTTTCCCTTTCCTGTAGTGTGTTGCAGGTTTCTGTGCATGTAAATGGACTGAAAAGGCAAAAATCCTCCAGAGAGTTTCTCTCCAACACACTCCTCCCTTTCCTGAAATGCCTCCATTGGACACCTTTGTTTACTTCCATAACATAGTGACATCACTATAGGCTAAGGGGCGGTACATCTCTAAGCGGTTGACCAATCACAACAGACACACACATTTTTTTGAACATTAAAGCATTGAAATATGTTACAGTAGGGCATGATATAGTATGTCCACTTTACGTTATTTTTGTCATTTGTGTATCTCTGCTTTGTTGGAGCTGAGATCAGCAACACACCACTTGTCTAAGCTTTATGTTATAATATCCCACTTTTTCTTGTTACCTGTCACACAGGTTGCAAAAATAACCCTCCTTGCACGCACATGACACTTGCATTGACTCGCCTTGGCTTTGTCTTTCTCTCACCAAGCACTTCTCTCCCACCAGGTATTCTTCCTTCTTCTTTAGGCGGAAAGAGATTTATGTGATCCAGTAAGTTGGGCTTTGGACCTGTGTGTGCCACATTTTGTTGTGTGTGCTTTTATTGCATGTCGCACTGCCTTGTACACGGCCATCACTATGTGTTCGTCATTGTCACATTTCCCATTAATCCCGAATCAAATCACCCTAAATCATCCATCTGTGTTGCTTATTAAACCTTTGGTGGAGGTCGGCAGCTGATGGAATCAGGGTCTCCTTTTCCTCCATCACTGGCAGGGATTGCAGAGTGGTGCCGACACCCCTCTGCTTCAGACCATTTTAATTTGTTTACCCACTCACTATCTTAAAATTGCTTGGGAGGCTTATCAGCCATAGAGGGCACAAGTGGTAGCGTTATCAATAGCTAAGGATCTGCGTAGCTACAAGTCTTCAGCAATGCAAAGAAAGATTTGATTAGAACCGGTTAAACCTCCTCTGCTTTATCTTACAATGCCATGTACTCTCTGCAGTGAAGATCCCTTCAGCTTTCAGGCCCAGAAATAACCCAGTGTGGGATGTGATTATTTAGTTAATTTGTTTATTTTTGGTTGATGTTTGCTGTCTATTTTCATCCAGGCTGCTCAGCTACAGGAAATCACTCAAGTAAGTCCTCCTGCATAAATAATCTGAATATACACGTAATAGTTGCAGCACAGATCAGCATGTTCAGTATGCCTCAGTATAAATAAGATTTATCCTTGAATAACATAAATAGCATATTGTTGTAGAGTGTTTGTACATCTCTTTCTGTTCCTCATATAACTCCTTCCCTCTCTGCCAGGCCTGTCAACAAGAAGTCTTTCCTGCAGCATGTAGAGGATCTGTGTGCCAACGACAACTCCAAGTTCCAGGAGGAGTTTGCTGTAAGTGTTTGCCTACTGCCCGGACCTGTGTTTCTAAACTGTGTAGACATGTATGCATTGAGATGGAATAAAATAAAACAACCTGGAAATGACTAAGTAAATGGAGCATGAAGGAAAGTCTGCAGTTAGAAAACAGATTACATCACAGAAAACCGATAATAGGAATAATTTAGTGCAGGCAGTAAAAAGGATAGTGATTCAAACAAAATCAATGCCAGCTTTTTCCTTGTTGTTTTGCACCTCACTAATGCACAAGAGCAGGTCAACATCCGATCAAATAAGCATTTGGTGATTAATGTATTAACTAAAATGAAAATGTTCTGCATTTTACATGTTGCTTATTATTCATGACGTATAACATATATTCCTGCATTCATACCTGAATAGATTCTTAATCAATTTAGAGACTTCTGGCATTCTGATCATTTAAACAGTGTTTTTAAAGTCACAATACATGTTTTAACTCATTTATCTTTCACTTAAGTCCCAACTGTTGGTATTTTAAAAAAAAATACAGGCTCTGACCTTTAACCTTTTGTATGTGTGTTTATTAATATTGGAGTATAATGCGTTGTCTACCCAGGAGCTACCAAAGCTGCTGCAGGACCTGGCCACCACTGACGCTGACCTGCCCTGGAACAAATCCAAAAACCGCTTCCCTAACATTAAACCTTGTGAGTGGTCAAGCTGAAAATAAGGTTTCAAGGTTTAGACACTCACAGTATACCAACATTATATGTGTTAGCTCCAACATTACCTGCATATCGATTTCACCATCGCTTGCACAGCTTTATTTCACATGTTTCTATCATGCTCTTCTTATTAAACTTTGTCTAGACAATAACAACCGAGTGAAACTGCTGTCAGAGCCGGGCACTGCGGGCTCTGACTTCATCAACGCCAGCTTTGTGTCAGTGAGTACCAACAATCCGAAACATAAATAAATAAATATCTGTCCCTTTCTGATTCAGTCAGATAGATAGATAACAACTTCAAGTTTATTAATTTCTGCGTGAGTGTGTTGCTGGGGTGTTGTTTGAGCTTGCAATTACAATGTTCTGTCTCTGTGTTTCTGCTCTGTAGGGCTACCTTTGTCCAAATGAGTTCATAGCCACCCAGGGGCCTCTGCCGGGCACCGTGGCCGACTTTTGGAGGATGATCTGGGAAACAGGAACCCGCACTATCGCCATGCTCACACAGTGTTACGAGAAAGGGAGAGTGCGTCATTTGACCCTGTTATGAAATAGAATTCAGAGGAAAGGAGGGGCATCTTTAAAACTCTGTCAACAGGAGATCTGAGTGTGTGTGTGTGTGTGTGTGTGTGTGTGTGTGTGTGTGTGTGTGTGTGTGTGTGTGTGTGTGTGTGTGTGTGTGTGTGTGTGTGTGTGTGTGTGTGTGCGTGTGCGTGTGCGTGTGCGTGTGCGTGTGCGCGTGCGCGTGCGTGTGCGCGTGCGTGTGCTTGGCATTTCAGATTCGATGTCACAAGTACTGGCCAGAGGACAATAAGCCGATGTCGGTGTTTAGTGACATTCTCATCTCAAAAGTGTCAGAGGAAGTCCTTCCTGACTGGACTGTCAGAACTCTCAAAGTAGAAAAGGTGATTACGCTGACACACCTTACACAATCACACACACACACACCATGCTGTTCATGCATATGTACACTGAACAAAAATATAAATGCAACACTTTTGTTTTTGCTCCCATTTTTCATGAGATGAACTCAAAGATCTAAAACATTTTCTATATACACAAAATAACCATTTCTCTCAAATATTGTTCACAAATCTGAAAAAATCTGTGATAGTGAGCACTTCTCTTTTGCCGAGATAATCCATCCCACCTCACAGGTGTGGCATATCAAGATGCTGATTAGACAGCATGATTATTGCACAGGTGTACCTTTAGTTTAACCCTAACCCTAACCCTAACATGTCACCCATTGAGCATGTTTGGGATGCTCTGGATCGGCGTATACGACAGCGTATTCCAGTTCCTGCCAATATCCAGCAACTTCGCACAGCCATTGAAGAGGAGTGGACCAACATTCCACAGGCCCTAACCCGGAGTGGACCAACATTCCACAGGCCACAATCAACAACCTGATCAACTCTATGCGAAGGAGATGTGTTGCACTGCGTGAGGCAAATGGTGGTCACACCAGATACTGACTGGTTTTCGGACCCCCCCAGACCCCCCCAATAAAGCAAAACTGCACGATTCAGAGTGGCCTTTTATTGTGGCCAGCCTAAGGCACAACTGTGCAATAAATGGTTATTTTGTGTATATAGAAAATGTTTTAGATCTTTGAGGTCATCTCATGAAAAATGGGAGCAAAAAAAAAAGTGTTGCATTTATATTTTTGTTCAGTGTAGATACTGGATGTGGGCATTTGTTCCGAACTTTGTAATACACAAATATATCCACGTCAATTCTTACACGTTCATCTAACTGGATAATGTGAACCAAAAAAGTTCCTGTAGCTGCCATTTTCTTTTTAAGTAAATGTTACAGGCCAACAGCTTAAAGAAATAGTTCAACGCTACAGGAAATACACTTGTTTGCTCTCTTATTAAGAGTTAGATGAGAAGATACAAGCTGTTTCCAGTCTTTATGCTAAACTAATGTAATAGTCTCTGTTTCATATTTAACAGTCAGAAATAAAAGTGGTGTTGAATGATCTAATCTATTTCACAGTGAAAATTGCAAAGTAATTCCAAAATGTCAAAATACTCCTCAATGAACCGTTCTATAGTGAGTAATTTGTTCCATTCCAACCTTTTGAGTTATGTAATCTATATTAATGTTAATCCATCTTTTTTCTTGTATGTATTTCTCTGTGCAGCATGGGCACTACATTCTGGTTCGCCACTTCAACTACACATCGTGGCCTGAGCACGGAGTCCCAGAGTCCTGCAGCACGCTCATCAAGTTTGTCCAAGCTGTCCGAGCCCACAGGCACGACAACACCACTATAGTGGTCCACTGCAGGTAAACAGCAATGTACTGACACTTCCTACATTACTGCAAGGTCCTTAAAGTAAATTGGACCGTATACTTTATTCTAATGGACCTTCCTTGACAATCTCCATCTGTCCTTGTTCTTCAGTGCTGGTGTGGGCAGAACTGGTGTATTTATCGCTCTCGACCACCTCATTCAGCACGTCAGAGATCACGACTTTGTGGATATTTACGGCCTGGTGGCTGAACTTCGCAGCGAGAGGATGTGTATGGTACAGAATCTGGTGAGTTGACATTAAATGTAATTGTTCTCTTAGGTTTAATTTCAAAAACACAAAGAGGACACACAAAAGAAGAAAAAAGGTGTTTTATATTATGTATTCTTTTAAGTTGCTTGAGTACACTTAAGAATCATCAAAGACTCATAAGTAGCGTTTTGGTTTGTCCCACTTTTTTTAAACTTCTTGTCCTGCTGTGATCCCATCCCCATTTCTTATTTTGACAAAGGGAAAGGATCTGGCAGTGGATTAAAGACATATGCTGAGCAGGGTTTCCCGTCTTAAAACAGCATGAACCTTTCCTAAAATTACTCTTTTCAGTCATTACTTACAGAGGGATGGTGTGTGTCTGCAGGGACCCTGTGCCTGGTGTCTGTGCCTCTCCTCAGTGTTATGCTTTTACTATTTCCTGATTTTCTGTGCATTTCTCCTGTGTCCACATTTTGGCAGTGAAATATGAGCCTGCAGTGTCTGCAGCTCCGAAGCTGGTTGATTCTTTGAGAACGCAGCGTTCCCGACAGCTCACTATTAGCATGGCAATCCAGTCACATACGGATTAAAGCCTCCGCTTTAAGAGGCCATCATTCCATTCAATTATTTTATAACCTCACAAATGTCATTGCCAAGCTACTCGAGCACAGTGTTGTTGAAGAGAGCTTTTAACTGACCCACATTTAACTCTTTTATCTAAAACACTTAACTCAAAGCGAGAGCAAAGGCAGTTATTGTAGATGTGTGTCAGATCTTGTAAAGGTATTTAATAATTACTGATTTCTACCGTACTTTCCATCAGTTTTGCTACATGAGCATCTTTATCATAAAATGACAATTAACTACAATCTTACTAAACTTGCTGAGTGATTTACATTTTTTTTGTGTAAAAAAATAGATAGAAACAAAACAATTGATACAAAATATATATATATATATATATAAATGTAACTCTATAGATTGTTATAGTGAATTATTTTGGCAACAAAAGTGAAAACATGATATGTTGGCAGCCTTGAAATATGGTATCCAGCTCTCTTGCTGTTACACCTCCCTGGGGTGTGGCAGCTGCAGCATTAGGAGTCAAAATCATTTTCAATTTCATTATTTTAGAGGTTTTTTTTCTGTCTTCTGTTAAAGGAAATTAAAATGTTGCTTTGAAAGGTTTGAGTCCTGAAAGAGAGAGGGGAAAAAAAACTTTACATTTTAATTAATTGACTAAATCTAATCAGCAATGCAAGATTAATGTGTTTCTTTTTATATATTGAAAGGAAGAAAAAAAACATGGTCATATGTTTTTATTTTTGTTGCCTTCATCAGACAGGAGACAGTAGAGGGTTAACAGATCTCCAGTTTGAATGAAATCAGAGTTGTTGTGATTAAATGGTCAGCACCAGCTACCAGGACCCTCTGACTTAATTATACACCAATTTATTTATTATGAACATCTGCTCAGTATCTGCTTATGTGTGTGTGTGTGTGTGTGTGTGTGTGTGTGTGTGTGTGTGTGTGTGTGTGTGTGTGTGTGTGTGTGTCAGGCCCAGTACATCTTCCTGCACCAAAGTACGCTAGAACTTCTAAACAACAAAGGCAACAGCCAGTCCATCTGGTTTGTCAGCTATTCTGCTCTGGAAAAGATGGACTCCCTGGACGCTATGGAAGGTAAACAACATGTAAACACACACATGCACCTCTACACACTTAAATAAACACAACACACTCACAGCACAGGGCTCACTCCACTCCTTTGTGCTGGTCTGCAGGTGATGTTGAGCTGGAATGGGAAGAAACCACTATGTAAAGTCTGACCGAGAGACACCTTTTCCTGGGAGAGAGTGACGCTTGTCGGGAGGCGGCCTGTGCACAAAGGTGGACTGGACTGACCCACTACACAAGGTTAGAGGGGGGTGCAGGAGAAACAGGAAGCGAACAGCACAGTTTAAACTGAGCGATCTGTCAGGCGACTTTGTTCCTCCACCTCAACCCACTTCTCTGCACTGTCCCCCCTTTAATAAACCTCTAGTGAGAAACAAAAGGGAGACAGAATTTGAGAAACGTTTGAAAGAGCGGTGAGCTGACTGTGAGAGCTCTATGACATCTGTAATCTTACAGGCATTTTGCACAAATTGATTCCACTGTGTATTGTAATTATTGTACTATGTTGATATCATCTATGTTTTTGTAAGATAATTTATTCAGCCAAAATGGTGTTTTGTTTCAATCTCTTTGTAAATCTGACTATGTTGAAGAGTGGACAGTATTTACGTTGTGTTTATCCTTTCTCAAGAGTGATTTGCAAAAATAAAAGCAACTTGTATTTTTTCTGGCTTTGATGCTTAAGTTTTTAGTCTCAAATATCTTGTTGTGGTTATCAGTCAGGTATGTCTGGCACTAGTTTGTTTTTTTATCATTAGTCATTGCTTTTTTCATTGTTTTTTGGCCTTGGAAGCGGTTTTATCTCAAAGCTAGTAGAGATTGGAAAAAAAATAGCTAGCCTTACTCCTCAGTGAATTAGAGAGTGTTTGCTCCACCTACCTTATTTGGCGGACCAACAACACATATTCTGACGGTACAAGTCAGTTTCAATACTGCTTTCTCCTCTGTTAATGAATGAGTCTAGACCCGCTGTGCTGGGTGGACAGGAACACCTGCAGACTGATTTCCCATAAGCTCCTTCATTCAGCCATCCTCCTCACACACCTGGAGCACATTCAGTAGAGAGGCCGAGGGGGGGGCACAGAAGCAGACATGGAGACAATTCGGCCGTCAACACACACACACACACACACACACACACACACACACACACACACACACACACACACACACACACACACACACACACACAATCAGACAGTCCAGGGCAGAGAGTAAAAACTACTTTATTCTTTCATTCTCTTAGAACAGAAAAAATAAGAAATATTCCATTAGTAAACATGTTGATCTTTAAGAAATCTCCCTTTTTAGAAATATTGTGAGGGTGCAAAGATTAATGACAGTGCTCCACAGTGAGGATGCAGATTGGTGCGTCTCCATGACAACCATAGAGAAGGCAGGGGTTGATGGGAAGGGGTGAGGCAGAAAGGAGGGAGGAAGTCGAGAGAGGGGGGAGAAGATGACATAAATCAACCCAACATGCCCGGAACAATTATGATACAAACATATAATCAATTCCCTGTAAATAAAAAATAAAAATAAAAACAATATCATGCTTTTTGTACAAGTCATTCCGAGTTTACAGTAAACAAAGTGGGGTGCTGACTTAAGAAATCAAGCAGTTTCTAAGGTAAATATACGCTGGATTTGCTGTTGCTTTGGCAGCAATTGTGTATTTATGTGTGTGTGTATTTACTGCACATATTCACCAATACAGCATAGCCCTTTACACACCTTAACAGGTGACACAGCCATCTCTTAATAATCTATAATAATATGACACGGTATAATTTCATGATAAATGTGTATCTGCATTAATATAGCATGTGTTACCATGGAAACTGGAGTTTATTCTATAAAAGCTGCCTGTTTCCTGTCTCTCGCAGCGGTAGGATTTAGGACAACCCCTGATGTGAATAATAATCATGATGATAATAAATATAATAATCATAGAAATAATAATTATAATAGCTATTATATCCTCTTTTTTTAAACTAGATTATTCTCTGTACAAATACATACGTAGATACACACACTGGGCAAACTAATCACTTTTTTAGAATAAATCTATATAATCTATTTACAATATATCCAATATATTCTGTGGTGCAAAAGGTACAAGACGTGTTTGGTGTGTCTCAGTTGGATGATTTGCGATCTGCTGTACAAACTGGCTCGAACCATCGACCCTGGAAAGACAACCTGATGATGAAATCAATAAATATTCCATGGACATCTTCAGTTTTCCCCCTGATTAGCATTCAGTATATGAATGCATCTCTGTTTATATAACATTTTCACTGTGCAAGGAAAAATATAATTTGTGAGAGGGGAGTGATGGTGACCTTGGTCTGCCTTGTGTGGAGCAATTTGTGTTCATTTTTAAACTAAAGAGAGTTTTTTAGGCACAGATATTGCCTAAATCCCAAGGTAACAGCAATTGTCACACTAGGTAACCCATTACAAGCAAATATACCGAAGGAGAAAGGCTTGATCTGGCTGTTTTAGTCTTGTTTTGGATTAATTACCAGTTCCACTCCCTGCTGCCCATGAGTAAGCAGACTGAACACACACGCTGCTCTCAGATATTATATGTTCCAGTGCAGCAAATCCTCTCCTGAGCTGTGTGAGGGCAAACAGAATCAGGGCACTCACACACCACTGTGAACATATCTGCATACACAAGTTTAGGAAAACAAACAACAATGAAACACAAAAAAATATGATTGTCATCAGGTTTTAGGTTAATTGAGTGAGTATCAACATCATAGCTTACTGCCCTTTACTGCACACGGCAGGGTGGAGATGCTGGAGCTTTTTACCTTTTTCTTGGCATATTTCGTCACCCAATCATTAACTGTTCACTCGGAAATAAAGGAAACAAATATACTGACACTACTGTGCAGACATGAGGAAAAAAAGCATTGCAGTGAGAAGCTACATTAGCTCTGCTGAAATTACTCTAAGCTCATTCGATCGAAACCAAAGACCAAAAAAAAGGGGGAGAACTTAACATCAATATCCTGAAAGAGAGCTCAAAAAAACTTGTATCCATATTTAAAGCCCTCCCTTTTCCTCTCAGGACCGCCGGTTTGCTCTTCTGATCTGGCTCCCTGGTTTCACAGTTATAGCTCTCAGACACATTTATTGGATAGGTGACATTTTAAAAATGCAAAGTCACAAGATCTTTTGAAGAGTGTGAAATCTAGACAGACAACACCATCAGCTACCGGGTGACATGTTGGACAAAAGAAAGGAGAAAAGCTGTCTTTCGAAATGGCATCAAATCTAGTCCATGTTCAAAAAAGCCACCACTGAGTCAGGACTCTGAATAAAGTCCTGTTGGTGTCCTTTTCCTTTGTCATTTTTTCCGACTTACACAGTATATTCCTCACTTTTTTTTAGCAATGCTTTAATCTGACCACTCAAAGGGAGTTGGCTAGCACTCCAGCATGTGTGTGTCGCTGTGTGAGTGAGGGGCTCAAGTCCGGCCCCCAGGGTTCATAGAGGAGCCTCTTAGACGATGCTGCGGGAGCCGCTGGAGTTGCGCCTTCGCATGAGAGGCATGGTGTGGTGGAGGGGCCTGGGTGAGTCAGGGGGACAGAACTGGTGGGGGTGGTTGTAAGGTGGAGGGGGAGGCGGCAGAGGAGGCTGGGGGCCGTCCCCCTCTCTGACATGCACAGGCGTGGACATGGCCGACTGTATGAGCTGATGTGTGGCTGGGCCTTGGCTGAGGAAGGCCTCCATCCGCCCCCGCCCGCTCTGGTCCACCACGATCAACTTCACTATCTGCTGGCACTGGATGAGTGTTTCTGGGCGGAGGTCTCCAGGCTGCACGGGGCTGAGCAGGGCGGGGGGCGCGGTCAGAGCCAGAGGCAGGGACTCAATGCTGGGCGGGCTCAGTTGATAGGTCTGCAGCCTGTTGTGAATTGACACCTAGTTTAGGAACAGTCAGAGAACGCATGAGGAGTTACCAGCCTGAACGCAGCCTCTACGCAGCCCTCTGGTGTGTTACGCACATGGGCATTCAGGCATGCAGGTTGGTATGCAGAGCGAGCGCATGCAAAACACACACTCCGTCTCTCTTTTTCTCCCAATCATGTTTATTTACATGATTTAAACTTTCTCTCAAAAATGTTTTACACACACCAGCCCAGAAACAGAAAAGGGTAACGGGATAAGAAGAGATTTTGGTCAGAGGTCATGACGTGAACGTTTTGATTTTGATGTGTGTGTGGGTGTGCGAACATGGTAAATGAGTGGCAGAATGAGAAGCTAAAAGTTGAAGGGAGTGTCAGGAAAGGAGAGGTGACACCGAGGGGCGTAGTGTCTCCCTAACACACTATGTACAACTCTAAAGGACTGACTGAGAGGCAGGGGAGAGAGGAAAGAATGGAAAGGATAGAAACAGAGGAAATTGGAAAGGGGTAAACGGCCTCTATGACTGTACTGTATGCTGAGTTAAAATAAGGGCTGGTTTCACAGACATTCCCCCACCCACACACACTCAGACTGTTAACACTATCAAGCTTATCTGGCTTTGTACTTTAGATGGTATTCTAGGAGCCAGCCAGGCTTATGGTGGCTTGCAAAAGCTTATACAGTAAGGCTGGCAGCAGCAGCTGATGAAAGAAGGGATGCTGTATGGCAAGTAGAGTGGCTGCTGATCCACTCACGAGGCACACGGAGAGATAGTTTGGAGCGCCACTATTGCACACTCCTCTCAGCGGCCTTTGTATCTGTGCCTGCAAAGTGGGGATGTGCCTGAGGCCGAGCTCTTTTAAAGCAAAGCACAAAGCAAACCTTTTTTCCAGGATGAGTCCCTATCTAGTCGCTCATTCACACACGCAAACACACACAGACAGACACAGACACACACAGACAGGCAGAACCACACCCACATAGCAGGGGACACATGCACTTACCTGAGGGAGGCAAGAGTGGCTTAGCACTTACCTCTACTGTGTTGTTGTTGCCAGTTTTATCGTACACATCCTGTTGGCCTGTGGGGAGAAAGGCGTCTATTTGTAACTCAATGGGAGATTAAAGTTTCATGAACAGAATGTTAAAATTCCGAATCAGTACTTTGCACAGGTGGCAGTCACTTTTTATAAAGGAAGAGTTTAGCATTTTAGGAATATACCTATTTGCTTTATTCCTCAGGGTTGGATGAATCACATTAATACTTCTGTCATGTCTGTCTGGTAAATACTCCCTCATGCACTGAGAAAACTGAACCATTGACAATTTTCACATAACTGTATTATTCTTATTCTTATTGGTAAGTTAAAAGCAATTATATTAGGTTGAAGCTAATATTTTGTATATTTAACTTAATATTATTGCTTTCAACTAACATAATACAGTGACATCTGTTGACATAATACATTTCATTAAAGTCACCGTTTCAGTTTTTTCAGTGTGGGAACAACTCAGCTAAGCATTAAGGCAGCAAACAGAAGGATTCAGCTAACTATATGCAGTTTTTACAAAATCCTTGAAACCAGCAACTCTAAAGCTCACTAATTAACATGTTGTGTATTGGGTGTTTAATCCATACAAAAACTATTAACCTTAAGTAATGCAAATACTGCAATGTTGTTTTTAGGGGAACAAACCCATTAAAAAAGCCACAATTAGAGAAAAGTTAAACAATATAATCATAATGTATTCCTTTTTCATGTTCATATTCGCTGTTGTTGGATTATTCATGCACCAATCTTCCATGAAGTTGTCCTATTTTTATACATTGCCTTGAGTAATGTATGCATTGTTATGAGTAATGAATGCGGTGTTATGAATTTTATGCTGCACGAGCAAAACCAGCACCTGAGGGTGAGCCGTGTCCTGTGTGTGTGTCCACTTGCCCACCATTGGTGTGTATGCTGTGTGGCTGGATGCCTTGTTGCCGCTCCAACTCCCCTGTAACACAAATAGGAGATTGCAACCAGCGACTATATATTATGCATATATATTCACATGTATATACATATTTGTGTACAAATTATTTACCAGGAAAAAAGTATTGTTGTTAATAAAATCTCTTTTTCTAGTCATAATATACAGTATGTATCTGTCCTGATGTCCTGCATATGCTGAGGTGTGAGTGCTGCACTTACACTGGATGTGTATCTGCTCCATCTCATTGACCTCTGTGATCGCCTCTCGGAGCTCCTCTGCAAACTTCCTGAGCTCTTCTCCGCTCGGGGAGCAGAAACTCACCAGCTGCTTCTTCTCTGAGGTAAACGGGCTCAGCATGGTGATGCCATGAGCGTAGTCTGATGAGACAGCAACAACAAGGTTTCAAAGAGAAAAAGGAATTACTTTCACCATGACTTTGATTTCAAAATAGGATACAGGTTCTTCGAAACATTTTGTTGTTGATCTTTTAAACTTCAATTTAACTTCACAAAATGGTGCTAAGAATACCTGCAAAAACTCATGCTTTGAGCTTAATAACCAAATTATTTTTCTGTTGGCAGCAATGGTTTCTTGAAGATTTTCAACAAAGGGTTTGCAGAAATGTTAGGAGGCTCATATTCACTGAAGGCCAGTAGTTTTCTATTTATTTCTCATACAACACATTCAGCTATGCTAGTGTCATGACTCAATTAATATCTTTAAAATCAAGTAAAGGCATTCATATCCTTCACATTATAAATTATTATAATTTCGTTAGACTTCATCAGGTCAAATCCTTCATGTGTTTTATTCTTTGATTTAAGATCAATAACCTGCAAAAAAACTGACAACCATATCAGCCTCAGCTGTACAACGGTTAGAATGCTAACATGCTAAGCATGGTTAAAATTTGAATTAGCTTTAAGCCATTATTACCACTGTGCTGTATCAGGCTGTAACTCATTCATCTGAAAAGTGAGCCAGTGTGGAAGTGTCTTAAACCTGCTTTCTATCCAATACCAAGAAGGTTGCTCCACTGGTTTCAGAAAACATCTGGTTAAATAGCAGTCCATGCTGACGTGTGTGTTGTCTCACTGGCTAGTTTCAAGTATTTGTGGTTACCTGTGATTCCCAGGTCACTCTGGGTGCCATCCTTGTTTTAGTTTTAGAACTTTCACCCTTTTCACAGTGTGTCTTAAATTCATAAAAGTTCATTGAGTTGCCTAAAAAATATCTTGTTAAGTGTTAAGATGTAGGCTTTAAGGCTAGATTCTTGCAAGCAAGCACATTTCCTGGAAGTGTTCGTTGACATGAGTGTGTTCATTTAGTTTTAATGGTGGCCCTATGACACAATCAACGTGTGGATTTGACAGACAATGATGTTGATGGCTCTCATAGTTGGGTCAGCATTTTTCCAGCAGCAGGTTGAAACTACTGAGAATAAATTGCAGTAGAGTAAAAAAGCATCTTACATTCATTGCTGAAGAGGTGAAACTGCATTCCCAGTAGGCCCATAGCTTTACAGAAGGTGTATGAGGCCGAGGTTTTCTTCTTGGGACACAGCTTTAGAATCTAGAGTGGAGACATAAAAAACACCAACGCGGTGAATATAATGATCCGATTTTGTATGAACTGACAATAAAATGTGGTTTAAGGAGCGTATTGAGAGTATAGTAGTGAGTCACTGAAAATAGGTTGCTCACCAGCAGCAGGTCATTGAAGAGGAAGACCTCTCTCTGGAGCTGGGAGAGCTTCTGTTTGTGGGCCTTGTTTGCGTCAGGCACCTCAAACAGACGGCAGCAGCACACCAGACGCCTGTGGGGCACGGCGAGGATCTACGGAGTAATGGTTAAAGAGATGGAGATGACAGAATGCAGTGAAATAAAACATGACACAAGAGAAAGTGAGACAGTACAAACAAGTAGAGACAGCTCTCTGAAATGAGAGAAAAAGGGGGAGCACAAACAATAAATTCACTCACAGTTTTCAGGCCCAGGATGGACTGCTCCACGCGGCTCACATAGGTGACGTGGTCCTCGTTGGAGCGGAGCTCTCTTTGTTGGATCCTTTCATAAATACCTGCAACCATCTCTCTGGGGATGTCTGCTCCATCATCCACACCTTAGGGAAGGACGGCCCAGAACAGAAGAAGTGTGACAGGTCACTATCAAGGTAAGCACTTCGCCTTTATTCACTGTTGCTATGTCTGTGTCAAGCTTATCATTCTCTTATGGCACACATGTAGTTTACAATTATAACAAAAGCACATTTACCAATATCATTTTCTAGTACAATGGACCCTTGACTTCAGACAGCCACCATAAATGTGGTCATTTGAAGATGTAGATAGCTAGCTATTAAAGTTAACGTTATCTACATACTGTAAGTTGTCGATGTAATGTTTCCAGCTGACAGCCTACTTTGTTTTTAAAATAACAATTGGTTTAGTTATGTCAGAATTGTTTTAAACTGTAAGATTTTGATGAAAATGCATGTGTTTGTGAAGCAGTGAGCATATGACGGATTATAGTGCATGAGTTGTGTCAAGAGTTTTTATCTGACTTTTAGACATAGTTCTGCTGTTGTTAAACCTGGCCAACATTTACTGTAATTCATCAGGGATTCGATTTGCTTTTGGCCTTTTTTAGGTTCTCCGTTAACCATGGAGGCACGAGGGAAAACAGTGATTTCTTCAGGAATCCAAGGAAACACCCTGTGATGTATTGATATACATTGGCATTTTAAAGAGTGTAGTATCTATTTAGTGTTAGTGATTCTGGAAAGAGATTGGTGCTATTTGAACCCAACAGTCAATACAAATCCCCTAATCCAGATGTATCCTCCCTCTCAATCTCACATACCATTCTCTTCATACATCCATGGCCTTGACCCTGCAGGCGAACATGAACGCTATCTCCTGCGTTGCTCGGTCAGAGGAGTCATTTTGTTTGTTAGCTGCTAACAAAGCCAGCGTGGTGAATGAAGAGCAGTGTACACACATAACAGACTAAATGTGTGTATTAGATTAGTATTACTCAACCGTATTACATTAAATGGTGATAAATAGATGATGTTAAATTGGTTGTATACTTATTTGTAATTGATTTATTTTGCATAATTATTTTAATTGAAACTAATGGAAGTTCTTTCCATGTAATGTGACCCAGTGACTCCAATGCAATGCCAAAACTATTCAAATAAAAAATAGACACCATTAGTAAAACATTTAAAATTTGTTTTGTTTTGAATTATTGTATTATTCATGATGTTCACCTTAAATTAAAGAATTTCACAGTGCAGATCCTCTGAGAGTTTAGCAACAGCACAGTGGAAGGGGTCCAAATTATACGCTTAGTAATTATTCAATTTGAAAGATTCTTTGTGAGCTCATATAATTTTAATTTGTTAATTTCTTTAACTTTAAGATGTTTCAGCAACATTAGCTTAATTTCATTGTAGGTTTTGCAGCTTTAAATGAGAAAATGTGCTTTTATCCCAGTATGTCTGCTGTCATTGTGTTATGGTGGAGAAACCTCTTCAGCTCACAAATAAAAAATGACTTGCATGATATTACGAGAAACAAGATATTAAAATATATTTTAAGGTGTTCTCTTCCATTAAAGGTGGGGTAGGTAAGTTTGAGAAACCGGCTCCAGATACACTTTTTATTATATTCCATGGAATGCTCTTAACATCCCGATAGCAATGAATATCTTAAGTGCTTTGACAAAAAGTCAATAAAAATGTTCATCTGTGGAAGCCGTAGTACTGTAAAAAAGAACGACCAATCATTTTAGCCGGCCCGGCTAAAATAACTGGATGGCCTACCTGCCTGTCAGCCTTCCATCTGTGCACAAACTTATCTCGTGCCCTCATTGGTCATGTGCGCGTTCGTGTGTTGGAGGAGGGGCTCTGTAAGGAAGTAGCAGATTTCTTCCGGCTGTGTATTTTCAAATTCTAGCTCACTCAAGCTGGTTTCTCCAAAATTACCCACCCCACCTTTAACTGAAGGTACGAATTAAAGTCAAACTTCTCATTTTCAAACTCTATTTGCATTAAATGTATGCATCTATTCAACCGCTGTATGGAGAGCGTTTTTGAGAGCCTCAGGTGATGGGATGCCTCTAGAAACCCGAGCTCATATCGTTAAATCTACGCTAAGTGAGCCTTAATTAAATGGGTCAATGCCACAGCCTCTGGAGCAGAGCTTCGAGTCAAGGATATCAGGAATCTCATCCTGCACAGCTGATGGTTTCCTTGATGGTAGCGCGCACAGGCAAGCACCCGCCGCCTCTTTGAGTAATTGACTTCACTTCAAGAAGCTGCCACTCAAAAGCCTGATAGTGAGGCTGAAGAGGGGTTGATAGAGAGTGCTTGTTGTAAAACTTTGAATTTCCTTGCCCTCTGCTCTCTTTTTCGTCCTCCCTATCATTGTGGCATATCTCGCAGATGGATCTCTTTGTGAAAATGTTGCGAAATGTGCATGTGTGTCTACATGTGGTTACTATTATATAACCAAATTCGCTGCTCATAGAACCACTTGCCATAAATATAGGAACATGTCATCATAATACCGCCTCTCTCACACTGTCACATCACCATCCCTGAGATGAGTCATACAGCTTTGATATGAAACTCTCTCATACATGAATTTGGACACACTAACCTCTGAGGTTGCGAATGAAGTCATCAAGGCCCATTTTGCGCTGGGGTTTGATGTTGGGCGAGTACATGTCAGTGTTGAGGAGGACCACAGCGAAGGCCAGGATGAAGATGGTGTCAGGGTTATGAAACTGCTGCACCACATCAGGATTACACATACAGTACCTCTGGCTGTGGAGGGAAAATAGGACAGCAGAGTTATATATAAAAAATGTGACATTTCTCGTTCACATCTTCGTCTCCACATTGGTCTGGATACTTGGAAATTATAACACTATTCAAGAACCCAAAAAACTAGTACCATAAGCAGCATCAAAACATTCACATATTTAGTTGTAGAGAAGAGTTTGGGGGATAGGCATAAGGAAAAAAATAGAGCATTAAGTATGAACGTTCAGTGTTAGTGTAAGGCATTCAACTAGCAGTAGCACATCAACTGAATGTACAAGTATCTTTCAAATCCTGAGGAGTTGTTTTGCATTTGTAAGGTTAACAGCATTCAGTATGTTCTAACTGTGTTGTTTCTTTTGGTGTTACTATCACTGTTACAACAAAATACATTTCAGTATGGACAAGTTAGAACCACAAGTTGGGTGTATGATACCAAAATAGCATACCTATATATACCCTTCTGTTTGGTTTTAGATTCAGATTAAATTGCATCCCAGACAAATCATTGTTGGCCTTATCTACACACTGAACTGAATATAACAACATCCATTGAACTGTTACCAAACCACCACAACAACCAAGCCAGTCTGATTCTATTATTGATAAGACCCCTATTCAAAACATACCGATATGAGGGTCGAAAAATTCCAGCAACAAAAACATAAACAACATGAACTGAGTGAATATGATAATATCTTAATAACTGAGGACCATATTTTAGGAAACTGCAGGATTTTACTGCTGCACTGGCGTGAAATCACACTCAGGTGCCAGTTTTTCAAGTACACCCAAAAGTAAGTCTATTCCAACAGCCCTACAATAAATCCTACCTCGATGAGGCTTTTAATATTAATATCATCTAAAATCACGATGCTTTATTCTGAGGCATGTTCCACATATTTTGTCCACCACATTTATAATAAATGAGGACATATTGAATATTAGAAACACCTCCTAACATAGTATCTTCAGGCTCACAGAAGCAATGTACCAAAACGTAATGATGTGCTCCCTCCTCCGTCATTGTGCCCAACTGCACCCTCAAATCCTGAAATGTCCTTTTAGATTGAACTAACACAAACAGAGAGCGCAGCGTTCAGAGAGAGCAGTACAAACTGTTAACGTTTTAAAAAGTAATACATCTAAAAGTGACTTTTTCCTTCAGCGGGATGGACGCATTAAGGCCAATATCTCTGCATACAAGCTACATCATTTTTTATTCTGACTGATTCAAAAACTCGCTGACTGTAACTTCCACTCTACCATAAATGAGACTGACAGGAGACAGGAAACATTTGACAAATGTCTCTGCCCTAGGTGAGGTAATGCCCAGTCTGCTTTGTTAGCAGAGATCATGCATTTGGACATGCTTTGCTCCATCGCTGCCCACAGGCTTCACAAACTCTCACTTCCACCCCTTCTCCCCCCCACAGCTCCCTCCCTATCTTTCTTACTGTCACTTGCACTCACACAGTGGGCCATTTCAGTGGAGGGAGGCTTTTATCTCCGCATCCAGGCAGGATGCAGACATGCAGAGGGCTGCTTTTCTCCAGAGGACTATGTAGTTGTCAGAGCATATGCAAACCAGAGTCCACATCTGAGACCAGCACAACCAGAAAGCCTTTCCCAGACCCCCCCCAACACAAGATCTAAGGCCAAAGTACTGACTGCAGCACAGTTCAGTAGCAATGCCTTTGTTCGAGGAAGAACAGATCCTGCTCGGCACCCACAAAGCTCCAGATATCATTTCCACACGTACACAGAGAGGCAAAAACAAGCCTCCCCATTTGTCATCTTGATGTAAGTCTGCTGCAAATTCTTCAAAGACTTAGAGCAAAGCCATTTCTATGTATGAGTGCATAGGCAAACTAATAGACATGTTCATAGATGTGTAAGTGCATATGTGAGCTGAGTGAATAAATAAAGCAGATTGTGTTTAATTGTGTGTGTGTGTGTGTGTGTGTGTGTGTGTGTGTGTGTGTGTGTGTGTGTGTGTGTGTGTGTGTGTGTGTGTGTGTGTGTGTGTGTGTGTGTGCGCGTGTGTGCGGTGTGCGTGTGCGTGCGTGTGTGTATTTGTGCTTCATTCACACATTTTCATGCACAGATCTCCATCTTATGTAACCAGTTTATTTAAACACTAGCTCCCAATCTCTTATCTTCATTTCTGCATATGAAAGTTGCATGCCAGCTGGCACCAATACAGCTTCGTATAAAAGAACTACTCACGACAAGAGTACAACACGCTTCAAACAGATGACATAACAACCGTTACATAACAGACATGGCATGGGATGTCTGGCTGTCCCGATAAAAGCTTGCTTGATTCTGACCTATACACACAGCTCCAACTACAGTGTTGTCTCAGATCACTGATGAATTTGTAATCTGCACCCAGGGGCTTAGAACGAATGATTGAGTGCGATGTGATTAACTGATGACCGCGGTGGGTGTTCTGATTGGCCCCTCAAATCAGAGGCAGAGAGAGGAAGTGTCATGATGACTGCTCCTTTTGCTCTTTCCTCTCACTATTTCTTGCCTGGAATAATAACACACTTAATACATAGTTCTGGTGATGATGTTGAACATTATGAGGGACCTGGAGTTTATTTTTAGTCAATCCTAGATAATCCGCCTGCTGCAGTAAATACTCAGAGCACAACATGTGTATAAATCCGCGGCTGTAAAAAACATTTGTGCTATTTAGTCTAGTCAAAGTAACGTTTAATGTAAAACTACAAAGCCCAGCTGTTTTTTAAGCAAACAAAGAAATAAACTACACCCTGAAGAAGGCTGTATGTGCTGCACACATTGTTGTTATTTTAACCCAGCTTTTAACATTTACAAGCATCCTCTGTGTTTAACTTTTTGCCAGAGGATTGCTTGTGGCCTTTCTCGTTTCGAGCACCTTCATGACACATGACACAATCTTTGAGTTGTTTGACCTTTATATTTGCTCCTATTTTAATCAGCCATGCTATCGGGTGTGTCAAGAAACAGCAATGTTGATATGTATGTCCCCCTCAGGGTGAATTGTAACTTGGAGATCCTTTGACGTTTCATTTGATACCATTATGCAATCAAAATTCAAATTTGCCCAAAACTGTCTTTGCAATAGACTCAAAGGAAGCAATAGGCTTGGGGCAAGGTGCCACAGGCAGGGCGAGACACTTAGAAAACTACTAAGAAATTATCTAAGAAGTAGTTGTTTTTTTCATGGGATTTGTCACCAGAAATTAAGAAAAAAAATCATTACAACAAAAGTGAAAATTAAAATCAGCAGCTCAAACTAAGACAACACATTTTGGATGCTGAAATGCATCCACAATGCTCAAAACTTGAAGTACATTTGCACTCATCTAACATTGAATTATACAAGCAACTGAGTGTCAGAAGGACATCTTGAATTCAGTTGACAAGGTGGTGACATTGTTGAGCAGATCAACAATGGGAGATTAAAAGTACAATGCAATGCAACCAATAACCCTGAAATAAAAAACAATAATGGCATTTCCATTGCATTCTTAGTCCAGGGAGCAATCTGTGTATTTTACCGGGACATCTCAAGGACAGTGGTAGCCAGGGGATAAGGCAACCATTGTAGCTCCTATTTGTCTGAACACTTTGTTTTTAACTGAAATAACTTTCAGTCAGAAGTCAAAATAGCATAAAAAACTGTTTCTATCCAGGAGTTTGTTGGAGGCTAAGCTAGACGGTCCACTTCAATGCACAAAGGCAGCTTGCAAGCTACAGTGGGTCTTTCTAGGTATTAAAATTTGTATTTTTCAGCAAATAGGCTCATACATTTTAGTGACTGGAGGGCAAGAGTCAGCACTGACTAAATGAGCAGGAAACTAGCCTGAGCTAAAACCTCAGGACTCAGGAGTACCAAACATGGACTCATACATATTCATGTGTGATTTTGGATGGAAATGGCCACGCAAAAGTCACGCACATACTGTACAATCAGGCTGGAGAGGCCGAATATTTGGCCAGAAAATGTCATCCATTGGAGAAAGTTATGAGATGGAGCATCTTTTTTGTGCCGATGTAATGCACACTGATTGCCTGCAGCTCAGATCATGATTGGCTGACTATCTAACACCGCTGAGTTTAGTCAAAGGTTTCAGGCAATCAGTGTAATTTGTTAATTATACATGGCTTTGGTTTCATCAGAGCATGCCGGCAGAACCAGTTCAACACTTTGTCTTTACTGTCGCTCTATTAGTATGCCATTCTAGAAACGTCTACTGCCACAAGGCTGGGAAATGAGATCCGAAAATACTTCAATTTTATTCCTTAGATGTGAGCCTGGTTACATGTCAGTGCTTTTTTTTTTGCATAGGTGGCCACAGGCAAAAGGTCTATTAATTTAAAAAAGTTTAGAGTGCCCTTACTAGCCCTGCTCAGTCATGTGATGGACTGTTGTTGTGTTGAGTTGTGTTATAAAGTGAAGCCAGAGCCCATTAGTCAGCGAGGCCTGGTTGTCAGCGAGTTGACAGTCTCACCTAAAGGCTTCGATGAGTCTCTCCACTTTCTGTGCTTCTCCCTGAACGCGAACATGAGCCTGGAACTTTCTCAGGGCTTCGTCGAGCTCCATGCCTGAGAAATCCATTTCATCCACAACACAACTATTGAGGGACAGACAAAGAGAAGAAGAAAGAAAAGCAAAGGGGAAAGAAAAGAGAGAGATTCGGTTTAGTTGCAGTGTGTCACTGTAATGAGAAGGTGAGTGAGCGAGTGCGTGTGTGCGAGTGCATGTGCAGCAAACTATGGAGTACCCAAGTGCTGATGGCACATCTTACTCTTACAGCCATACCTCCATTACCGAACCACTGACCTGGAAGACGCACATAGAGACAAACATGTTTGCACACGCACACTCTTTGTGGAAACATCAATGGGGTCTGATGACAGTGGGAGATAAGAGGAAAGCAAAGAGGGGGATGAGAGGGCAAAATAATGAAATGCAAAGAGCGGGGGGGGGCAAGAAAGAGGTACTTGAAAGGCTGAGGGCAGGCGGAAGCAATGGAAGAAGTGTGCGTTTTATGTGCATGTGCACGTGTGGGGCCATGCTTGTGTGTCTATGTGTCTCAGTAAAAGAAATAGAGGGTGTGTGTGTGTGTGTGTGTGTGTGTGTGTGTGTGTGTGTGTGTGTGTGTGTGTGTGTGTGTGTGTGTGTGTGTGTGTGTGTGTGTGTGTGTGTGTGTGTATGTGTGTGTTCAGTGCAGTGACCTATTTCTACAGTCTCTTGAACAACCTCAGCAAAAAGCCTCTCTATCCTGGATCTCTGTCTACACTGGTTGGACGTGAAAAGTGTGAGTGTGAGGGCATTAAGTAAATGCGTGTTTTCATGGATGTGTTGCATTTATGCATGCTAGTGCTGCATGTGTGTGTGTGTGTGTGTGTGTGTGTGTGTGTGTGTGTGTGTGTGTGTGTGTGTGTGTGTGTGTGTGTGTGTGTGTGTGTGTGTGTGTGTGTGTGTGTGCAATAAGGTTCCAAAGCTATTTTAGATATTTTAGAAGTACCTGAATTCATTAAAGTCAAAGTCCAACAAATCTCTTATTTAATATTTTATCTCCTCTCTTATTTTATAGTAAAGAGAGAACATTTCTGACCCTAGTAGTGGTGAATCCAGGGATTACATTAGTTAAACATAGCAAATAAAATAATAATTAATATACATTTTTTCTGCACTCATAAAGTAAGTGGTCAAATAAGGGGGGATGATGATAGAGGGGTCTTATGATAAACTAAAGGGGATAATACAGGAGGAGGAATTATTCACAACGTGGTAACTCAAAAGGGAAAACTGCCAATTGTATACATTCAGGTCTGTTTAGTTGTCAGGAGGACTAGCACTCATGCTGGGAAAATGTCTTGTATAATGACTTCTCTGGCTGTTCAGGAGCTTTCTAAATTATTTCTCTCAACATTGGGAATTCAATCTGTGAATTTATAATAGAAACCCTATGTTCTCAAGTGTGGAGTTTGAAAGGCGTGGGTATACGTGGGCGTCTACCAGTCAGGGAGAGTCAAACAAAGCAACACTTCCAAGGGATTTTAACCTGATTCATAACAGAAAAACCCAAACATGTGTATATGTATTTGTGTGCATTCATAATGCATCTCCATATACAGTTGGGCAAAAAAGTATATAGTCAGCCACCAATTGTGCAAGTTCTCCCACTTAAAAATATGAGAGAGGCCTGTAATTTTCATCCTAGGTATACCTCAAATGAGAAGAAAAAAATCCAGAATATCACATAGTCTGATTTTTAAAGAATTTATTTGCAAATTATGGTGGAAAATAAGTATTTGGTCAATAACAAAAGTTCATCTCAATACTTTGTTATATACCCTTTGTTGGCAATGACAGAGGTCAAACGTTTTCTGTAAGTCTTCACAAGGTTTTCACACACTGTTGCTGGTATTTTGGCCCATTCCTCCATGCAGATCTCCTCTAGAGCAGTGATGTTTTGGGGCTGTCGCTGGGCAACACAGACTTTCAACTCCCTCCAAAGATTTTCTATGGGGTTGAGATCTGGAGACTGGCTAGGCCACTCCAGGACCTTGAAATACTTCTTACGAAGCCACTCCTTCGTTGCCCGGGCGGTGTGTTTGGGATCATTGTCATGCTGAAAGACCCAGCCACGTTTCATCTTCAATGCCCTTGCTGATGGAAGGAGGTTGCTTACCTATTGCAGATTCAGTCTTCCCAGCCTATTGCAGGTCTACAATTTGTTTCTGGTGTCCTTTGACAGCTCTTTGGTCTTGGCCATAGTGGAGTTCGGAGTGTGACTGTTTGAGGTTGTGGACAGGTGTCTTTTATACTGATAACGAGTTCAAACAGGTGCCATTAATACAGTTAACAAGTGGAGGACAGAGGAGGCTCTTAAAGAAGAAGTTACAGGTCTGTGAGAGCCAGAAATCTTGTTTTGTTCGTAGGTGACCAAAATACTTATTTTCCACCATAATTTTGCAAATAAATCTTTAAAAATCAGACAATGTGATTTTCTGGATTTTTTTTTCTCCTTTTGTCTCTCATAGTTGAGGTATACCTAGGATGAAAATGACAGGCCTCTCTCATCTTTTTAAGTGGGAGAACTTGCACAATTGGTGGCTGACTAAATACTTTTTTGCCCCACTGTGTATGTGTATTTATATAATGAATACTCACTCAAGGACATCTCTGTTGAATTGCAGCTTGCTGTTCCCCAAGAACTCTCCAATCATCTGTCTGCTCAGGCCCTTCCTCTGAAGCAGGAAGTGAGCCACTCCGATGGCCGTGTCCGGGACGAAACCACGCGTGATCAGGAAGTGTATGCCTCTCTCTGGGTTCCTGCCCGCAGATAGCCAGCAGCAGAGAAGAACATAGTGTTAAGAATTAAACAGCGCGTGTGCAATGTGTTTGTGCGTTCAAGCAAAGTGAGAAAGAAAATATGTGTGTGTGTGTGTGTGTATGTGTGTGTATGTGAATAGGACACACAAAGAGAAAAAGGGAAAAGAAGAGTGCATTCATGTGCAAAATCAGTTAGCTCTGGTCTTCTGTGTCAGACCTACTGTCACAGATGCACATGAGTTCATTTACTTTAATTTGTATTAACTAATAATAAGTGCAGGCCATCCGTGGGCTCTATTTATAGACTCTGAGAGGCTCTCACATTGTTCATGACCTCCTTGTCTGCCTCTCAACTGCATTCTCTCCTTTTTTTCTATCTTTCTCACTTTTTCTCTCTTCGTCCCCCACCCTCCTCTATCTCTTTTTTTTCATTGACTTCACACAAGATGGCACTGAAACCGCAGCTCCTCCCAACAATCGCAAACACTAATGAGCAGCTGCTGAGAGCAGTTTTGCAGTGCTGTTGGAGATTTGTTAGACGCAAACATTAATAAGTGCATTTTGAACCCTGAGCCAGAGGGTGCAGGATTATGTTGTAATTTCCTGGGTATTAGTATGTATTTGTGTTGCTGGTCCACTCACACATTGAAGAGGTTGAGTCCGATGCGGTAGAGGCGTTTGCGGTGTGTGTCTGTGGAGAGAGTTGGTGAGCGACAGGAGGCTGGATCCTGGCAACGGTCCCTGGGCAGAGAGACCACCAGGGCCTGCAGGGCCTCGGGGCTCGGCCCCCCGGGGATCTGCTGAGGATGGGTATAGTGGTACTGCTGGTACTGGGTGTAAATCTGAGCAGGTTGCTGGTTGGAATGGGCTGAGGTGGAGATAGAGGTGGAGGTAGAAGTGGATGTGGACCCCAGTCTGTCTGAGCCGCTCTCCCCCTCCAGGCCTCCTCTTCCCAGAGTCGGCGCTGCAGAGCCCCTTCTGGATCCTAGATCACCCATTTCCAGCTCCTCACTGGGCGGAGGTGCAGGAAACTCTGATTCCTCTGGAAACGGGCCATCTCCAAAATTCATCCCGCTCTCCGAAGTCTTCCTGCTGCCCTGCTGCCCTGCATTGCCCAGAGAGGTGGTGGTCGTGGTGGTGGCGGAGGAGATGGTGTAGGAGCTGTTGCTGTCGATGTGAACCGTGACGTCCCTGAAGGCCATGAGCAGTGAGCTGGCACTGCGGGGCATACAGGCGCTCTCAGCTGCTGCCCGAAGGGCCCCGGGGTCCATCAGGAGCCCCTTCCCTTCTCCCCCTTCTGACAGACTCCAACCACGAAGGGCGTCATCAATTGACTGGGCCAAGGAGTGAAGCTGCAAATATAATAATAAAAAGTATGCGTCATTTAAAAATAGGTCAAAAGATATGAGTCATGTTTGAGAAAGTTTGTGAAACAAGATGGGGTTGTTTATTTGTGGCTATTTGTCTACAAGTGGAAGCAAAGAAATGTGCTGGTTGATTACAGAGTAAACCATAGAAAATATATTGCCCATCAGGTCGTTGGGGTGATTCATTAATCTAAGCAGCTAAATTAAGTTCCTCAGTCTTTTCTTGGGTTAAGGTTTAATTGGAAAAATGAAACTGTTGACCTGACAATAGCACTATGAAAAGTCAAGGGATCACCAAATTCATTAGGATTAAGGAAAGTTCATGGCAATCCATCGAATATTTGAAACATTTGTCTTAACTATTTACCCTTGAGATGTTTCAGAAAATACTTAACTTCTTGATGTATTATTTTCTGGACCCCCTTGCATTACTAATTAAACTAAACGAATGGGAGCTGAAACTAAAGCCTCACCTGGTCAGAGAAGCAGTCTTCCAGCTGTGTGAGTGTTTGTCCAGGGTTCTGATTTGGGGCTTGAGAGTGACGGGCTGCAGGGGCCGACGCAGGAGAAGGAGGCAGAGAGGTGGAGCGACACGGGGGAGGAGGAGGGGTTTTAGAGCGTAAGGGTATCTGTCCTCCTCCAGGATGCAAACTGTAACTGTGTCTCTGGGCTGTGTTCCTGTTCCGGCCTGAAGGGCTGGGATGACGCAGGGAGATCCGACGGGGCAGCTTGCTCTCCGACAGGGAGTTACGGATCTTCTGGAAGTTTTTGCTGAGCTGGTACTGACGGAAGGCCGTTTGGATACGACGAGCTGCCCGCCTCGCTATGAGATGGCCTCCATATTTCTGCTCCAAGTCTTCTATCTGGGGAAAGGAAGAGAGTGAGGGGGAGTGAGTTTAAATATCAAACATGTTTACAAGGCTCTGAAACTCACGGAAGACAGCGCAAGAGTCATATTGCAAAGCACACAGCCGCCACTCAAATTGTTATTCATCTAACAGCAGGCAAATATCATGATGCCATTTTGTTCATATCTACAAAGGATCAAAGAATTTGAGCCTGAGTAACAACATGCACACTCACACTTTCTTTTCAGAAGTATCCTTCTTACTTATCTGTCCACTCTTTAAAAACTGCTGAGGGTTTATGGCATTAGAGCCAAAGTAAACATCATCTATCATCGTTCAACAGCTAATACTGGCTGAAGGGCCAAGGGAGGCAGGATGGATGGGCTGTGACAAAGGTGATTTTGAGGAAATGAATAGAAAAGTAAACATCCGCACAAGCCTATTTTTGTTCCGTTTGTTGGCAGAGCCACTCAGCCCAAAATCTCAGCTTCCTCCAGAATTTTGCCCTCATGAATTTCCAGCAAAAAGGAGACGAAGAAGAGAGAGTAGAAGGCGAGGAGGCACAGATAGGGAGAGAAAAAAAAGAGGACAGCCACACATGTGACTGTGCGTGTGTGTGTGTGTGTGTGTGTGTGTGTGTGTGTGTGTGTGTGTGTGTGTGTGTGTGTGTGTGTGTGTGTGTGTGTGTGTACACACACGCAAGCAGGAAGACACACACTCACACATACACTCACACTGCAGCAGCCATAGCAGTAGCAACAGCAGACCCTTCAGCAATTTGGTTTGAGAAATAAAGACATCTCCAGCCGCCAGGAGCAGTTATTAGCTGTTACCATGACAACCTAGCATCTTTGCGTTTCTGTCACTGTGGCAGTGAAATTGCTGCTGTTCTTTTTCGTGTCAACACAGACAGAAATAGATCTTAATAAGAATCTCTTTTCTGACGCAAGACACAATGTGAAATGATCATCCTTCAAACACCTCCTCACTGTTAAACAGGGGGAAGAGTCAACATCCATTCCATATCAACATGTGCTTACAGTCCCACACATACAAACACACACACAAACACACTTGGAGAAAAAAATCATACCTGTTTGTTCTTATTCTCCAGTGAGATCTCGTACTCGCTCGGTCCCTCTCTCTTGGTCCCCTCCACTTCCTGTCCACCACCAGAGGACGTCCCATCCTCCAGGCTAAGCATCTGTCCACTGCCGCGGAAATAAGAACAAAAAGCTATCAGTCCTCTCTACTGACCTTCAAAACGCTGCTGTTATCGCAGTGGCAGCCATCAACTGAGCGAAGAGTAAAGAGATTCATGAGGGAAGCAGCAGGTGGAGAGTGTTGGCCCGGGGCGAAGGTGACTGAGTTTATGTGTCCGGTTATATTTGATCATATTTTAGGCTCCAATGCGTGTTGCACGAGTGAAACTCTGGATATATGCCTGGGAAGAAAAATACCTTTTTTCTTTTTACATTGACTTGTGGTGTGATAAAAAGTATTCACTCAATCACTCCTTTACTATTTCATATATACTAAAACATACTAGTTAACTCGAGTGCAAACATCAATATTTGGTGATCAGCTTGCAAACCTAGATATTGATCTTGCGATCGGACATCTGGAGTGGATAGTTTTTGATGGCACTTTATAGTCCATTACACTTTCCCAACAAGCTTCATTCACAGAGCAACACTTTGATGTCGTCATTAGACATTGCCAGCTTCACACAGCCAGAGCGGTGCGCTGCACTCTTGGCAGGTCCAAATGTGTTTTTCACCACACTAACAACATTTTGCCACGGAAATCTGTGCACAACATCAGCACGGATTTCCTATGTGTTTCTATTGCAATAAAATCATTTCGATGAACATTTAGTTGAATTTGTGATAAAAAGTAAACCGGCATGAGTCTCTTGCATACAAATTAGATTTATTTGTTATACTTTTTTACCATGTTCTGATGCTAGGATGACAGTATGAGAGGAGAATAAGTCAGTGACTTCATTTCAGCTTTTAAAAAACGCTGGAAGGGATTCACAAAAATAACCGAGAGACAACCAAATCCTCAAATTCAAACAAGACTGGCAAAAAAAGTACAAGAATAGATCAAACAAGGATAATTTTCTTGGAAAATAGATTTTACTCAGAATCAGACTACCTGATTAAATAAAGATTACAAATATGTATAATAATAATAATAATAATAATAATAATAACAATAATACTGTAGCAGCTGGGAGCATAAGAACAACAAAGGAATCTGGCCTCAATCTGACTCTGAATTTAACACATTTGATAGTGGAGGCTTGTGGAGTGTCCCCCTCTCATAATCCCAGACCCTGTTCACAGATGGAACAATGTTCTTTTAAATGACAGCAGTAGTGAAATTCTGTGAAAGCCATCTAAGGCTTATCTAAGCAAATGGCTGCCATGAGACATCAGAAATATCCCTTTAACAAAGTTCTGGTGCGGTCATTTTAAGAGTCGTTCAGTTTGCACAAATTTAAGAAATTAAAAGTGCAGTGGTCAATGTCTCTGGCATCTCACCGCCTCTAAAAGACACAAAAGACTGACACTGCTATTCAAAACCTTTTATATAGCCATACTGGACTGTTGTAAGCATAGAGCTATCAGAGCCTAAGAGGTTTTATAATGGTGTGCATTAGTGTGTGTGTGTGTGTGCATCGTGTTGTGTGCTAGTTAAATCTTTCTTCCACCCAGATAATGCCTACTCTAATATTTTTTTATACGAAAGGGACTAGTGCTTAACAGGACTGGGGAAACTAAAAAGCCTCCTCATGGTTAAATAATGAGAGCATCACTAAAAGTTCCTCTTTGTTTTATTTGATTGCTGTGAAAGCAAAATATTCTGCGTTCCCCAGCCAAAAGTCAAAGATGGAGGCTTTGTGATATCTTTAAATGAGGCAAGGTTAGCATACATAGAGAGAAAAAGGAGGAATAGAGTGCAGAAACCAGAGGCTGGGATAGAAACAGAGAGGAAACAGGAAGATACAGAGAGACTGTGTTGGTGTGTGCATGCTGGAGGCTGTCTCTATCAAAAACTCTATTAAAACACCGCCATGCCCCTGTGCTGCATCAGAATGCATTAGAGCACATTAGAATACATTAGGATTTAAAAGCAAGAGCCGAGCTATTAATGTATCTGGACAGCAAAAGCCGCTGTAATCATATAGCCGCTATACACCCTCACNCACTCCTCCTCCTGCATGTGTGACGTCATGGTGGAAGAAAAATGAACATCTGTCAAATCGCATCTCTCAAGGTCCCTTTAGAGACTTACAGTACTGTACTGCCAGGAAAGAAACACACACACACACACACACACACACACACACACACACACACACACACACACACACACACACACACACACACACACAAACACACAACACAACACACACACACACACCCGACACACACAACACACACACACACNNNCCCCCCTCTTTCTCTGTCTACACCCCCCACCCAACACACATACGCGCTCACTCATTCCCACTAATGTGGCGGCAACAAACATACCAAGCACACACTCCTCCTCCTGCATGTGTGACGTCATGGTGGAAGAAAAATGAACATCTGTCAAATCGCATCTCTCAAGGTCCCTTTAGAGACTTACAGTACTGTACTGCCAGGAAAGAAACACACACACACACACACACACACACACACACACACACACACACACACACACAGGAGAGAAAAGGCACGGCAGGTTAGGCTAGAGGCGGATCCCATGACATCTCTAGGGAGGTGTGCGTGCTCTGATGGTTTCATGTGTAGAGGTGGTGCAAATTTGCAGCCAATAGGCACACATAACTTCAAGATTATAATGAGCTATACAGTGTTACACGGCTCCTCATCATCTCATCTACTCGGGTACATGTCCACTGCTGCTGTGCCATTTGCTCATCCAATCAGCACTATGTGGGTGTAGCGTTAAGTCATCAAATCAGAGAAAAGTGAGGGAATCCAGACAGACAGATGGTGATATTCATAAAAACAGATGAGTGGGAGACTTCACGAGAAGGGATGGAATAGAAATCAACAGATAAATAATGAGTAGTGAGGCATACAGACACAAACAACACAATTGGGAAGATATAACAGCAGATGGGGAAACAGAAAAAGCAGACATGCCTGGGAAAGACTAGATTTAGAAGCAGAGTTCAGAGGATTAAACCATTAGAGGGAGGGAGGGTGTAATCATTGAGAAACATGACAAAATCAGCTTTTCAGAGTTTTACAATAGAGTTTCATCCAAACATCGGCAAGTCAAATGTCATTCGTCCACACACAAAAAATAGTGAACACACAGAAGCCGCCCACACAAAAACAGACGACCAAAGTGCCAACAGTGGATCCTCAAAGTCCTCCAGTTACTATGGTAGTGGTAGTTGTTGCGTCATTACTGGGTTGCCATGGGCACTTTCATAGTGGCAATATCAGTTCCCACCCGGATCCCCACTCTCTCTCTCTCTCTCTGTCCCTCTATATGTGAATCACCCTGGAGGCTATATGATCTTATAGCACATATGTCAAACTGAAGGCCCGGGGGCCACATCCGGCCCTTGGTGGATTTAATTTGGGCCCGCAGGATAATTTCTAATTACTATTAAATGTGGCCCGCCGCCGCCAGTATATTGCACGCACACCTTCACTCAATCCTGAGGGTTTCCTCATCCATTGATGAACTTGCACCCAAGATGAGATGCCAAGTATCTGGCTTGAACTAGCATCACAGAGCAGCACACTGAGTTTAAATGGATGTTTCCTCTTGCACTTTGTTTCTTGTGACAACAGGGCATGTTTGTTTTTTTCTTTGAGGGAAATAGTTTTTTTAAGCTGTTGTTAGCCTGTGGGACAATGTAATCATAAGAGTTGTTTTTATAGGCAATAATTTAAGCTTTGTTAGTTCCAGGTTTAATATGTGCAATAAGTTCATTTCAATAAGTTTTCCAATAACATTGNTTCAATCTGTCTAGGGACCTTTTCTTGCATCCCTCCGTCATTTCCTGTCACTTATCCAGTGCTGCTATCTAATGAAGGTGTTGATCTTATAAAGAGTTTATAATTTTTATAAGCAATTTCCATTTTCATTTTTGAATAAGCTTAATTTTGTGCAATATAGATGTTTAAAAGCAAATTATATTAGTATTACCTCAAAAGGTGCTTTGTGCTGTTTTTTATCCTTGCTTATAAATTGTCTTGAGATATACACTAGTGACAGATATACACTAGAGGGATATAATAGTGGGAGATAATAAGGAATACTGACAGACTTTATAGACCGAAAATACATTCAATGTCACAAAGAAGTGATTTGGGTGAGGGGAAAGCAATGATAATAAAACAGTTTTTGTAGAGCTTATGAATATACAACTATGAATGCTCAAAGATTTCTCACCATCGCTCGAACTTCACTGCCTTCACTAATGTTAGTGATTAGCGTTGGCAATGACATTTATCTATCTTCTAAATGTTCTTTTGGGTATACTAATGGTTGTTACTCTGGTCCTTATAGAATGCTTTTTTTTCTTGAATTGGCGAGCATTTCATTGCCTCTTCCGCGGCTTATGGTAGACTACTCTGGACTGACGAAGAGGATGTAGAATACTGCATATGGTGTTTTTATAATAGAGACACATGGCAATTCCCCTTTACATTCCCTTACATACAAGTATTGTTTTTTTTTTTAAATTAAGTCGAAATGAACTTCTGTTTTTCATGAAGGGTAACAGGATTGTGCCACTGGCATGTACAGAATGCTCTGACCTTGAAAACAATTAGCCTTCCTTTCCATTATCAAAATTAATTGTTATCACGTTGTCATGCCCTAATCTTTATCTTAGAGGCGGAAAAACTAATTAGCTGTGGTGCAACACTTTACTGTCAATCACAAAGGTTGAAACAATATGCTCCCTTCCTCATGCACCCTAGAGAGGAAGGCTGGTATAATGTGGCCCTGAGAGCGAAACACACGACACTCTCCCCATGCCTCGACTTTTCTATACCCCCTTCAGATTATCGAGGCTTTTAATAAAGATGGGTAAATCCTAACTGTGTTGATAAAAGGACAAAGGATAAATCCACTTTTGTTTCATAGATTTAGGCTTTTTGTTCCATATTTCGATGAGAAGAGTTGTAATTAAGAGCTTATCTCGAGGTTGAATTGAATGTTTCTCCAC